AGTGCCAAACCAGCCTCCCAGCCGGGTAGAGCCCCCGCAAGAGGGGTGAGGGAGGGGGCGGAGGGCGGGATCCTTTTTTTTGTGCTGAAGGATTTTGGTTCCCATCTATACGCAGGGCGCACAAAGTGTATGCAGCATACATGCAGGTGTCAAGTTTTGAAGTTCAACCGCACAAATGGAGATGTCCCTAAAGTTGGAGGCCTTTTGGTTCGTGTCTAAAGGAGGGATAGCTGGTCCATTCCTTCTTGAGAGAAGGCTCTGATCCTTCGAAGGTTAACTTCCGCGTTTCACTAATTTTTAGAAGCCAGCCAACATGTTTGCCCAACAATTTTGGAATTTTCATCCCGAAGGATTGAAGGATCGGGAGAGAGTCGATGAAACCCGTCCGCCATTTTCTGCCGAGGCCACAGTTGTGCGTGTCAAGGAGAGCGCTTTGGAAAACTCGGCTTGCTCCCATGTTGCTTTTGAGGTCTCCCGTGTTGTCATTTCGGCACTTTGGTGTTGTGATGCAAGCGCTACACTTAGCAAGAGGGTCTAGGCAAGATTGTCGACACTACAGCGGCTCCCCATGTTGCTAGTAAACAAATGTATATTCTGGATTGTGGGTGGCTTGGCACCTGCTACAGGACACTCTCGAGCTCTTAGTGGGAAGTTGTGGAGATTGTCGCGCTGTCTTATGGCAGAAGGCGCTTGGGCATGGGGAGCTGGAAGGAATGACTTTTCAGCCCTGATCAGGGAAAAAAGGCTGACTTAAGAACCTTCTTTCAGGGAGTTTGGTTGTTTGCTCTCTTAAGCGGGGGCTCACAAGGCGCAACTCACCGTTTAAGGCCAAGGCTGGTGAGCGAACTTTGCTGATTTGAGGGAATCCTCAACACCCATGTTTGCTGTTCTCTGCTTGCCTCCCATTGATCCATGCATGTCTGGAAGCATGGGCCTTCAAATGTTAGTGAAATACCAAACAACCGCATCCTTAATACCCCTGATGTAATGTGGCCAGGGTATAAACCTCCTGATGTCCCTCACGTCGCTATGCCGCGCAGGAAAGCAACACGCTTCTATCAACAAGAGACCATCGCCCGAACGACGCGGACGAGCGTCGGAGAATCGAAGCCGCTGGTGGGGAAGTCACCAAGGACCCTGATAGAAGAGTCGGAGGGGGAGAGGCGACTGGCCAAAGAAGGAGGAATCAAGCAACCAGCCAGCCAACTGGTTCCATGCGAAGCCAGAAGGTGCACCCGAACCTTCTCACACATGCACTGTGAACTGATGTGATCCCCAATCAAGGAATCAAGGTGCAGGATGTTGAAGCATGTCAGGCAGAGCAATCCAGTTGATCGCCCAGCAACCTCTCCTCATCCAACGTGGGACCTGCGAAAAGTGAAAGATCCCCTCCTGCGTGTGACGCATGCAAATTGCTGCAAATCGCTGAATGGCACAGTGTTATTGACTAGTCTTGATCATGCTGCTTGTGATATCTTTGTTTGACACCACTTAGACGGAGTGTTTATTGAAGTTTAACGCTTGGAAAACCGTTGTTAAGTTTTAACCCGACGCTTTGTTTGCCTTCCAGCTGTCTTGTTTGCTTGGCCTCGCCTTGCCCTGGCCTTGCTTGATTGCCTGTTTGGCCTTGCTTGCTCGTTTGGTCTCGCTTGCAAGGCCCAGCAAGCGAGCAACTTTTTTGTTTGATTGCTTGCTCGGCCACGTTTTTTTGGCCTTGCATTGGTTGGCCTTGCGTTGCTTGGCCTTGCTTTGCCGTGCTTGACTTGGCTTGCGTTTGTTAATGTTTCTTGGCCCGTCCAGACGCATCCTTGTTGGTTTCAACAGGAGGACCCAGACGACCCACCGCGAGTGGATGGCGTCCTATCATGCAGCCGTGCGCTTGGGTCCTTCGAGCTGAAGCAGGAGGACGCTTGGGCTAGCGTATCGAGCTGGCTTTTTTGATGTTGGTTGGATATCCATTCAATTCATGCCTCATTTCATCTCGCCGTGGAGCCATAGTAAGGGGAGCTACGACCAACCAGTCCCCCCGCGCGGCACGCCACTTATAGAAGTCTGGTACGCAGGAGACCTTTTTGATCCTGTCGACTGTCGACAGGATCAAAAGGCCTCCTGCGTACCAGACTTCTACAAGTGGCGTGCCGCGCGGGGGGACTGGTTGATTCTTGCCTGTGACGGGATCTGGGACGCGGCTTCCAACGAGCAGGCGGGGTCAAAGTTAAGCGCAATTTTTGCTAGAAGGGTGACGGGGGAACGTTGGAAAAAGAGCCTCGTGGTATCAGTCCACAAAACATACATTCCAGGGTCGTATTTTTGGTTTGAGATGTGTCGGGAGTTTTCTTCACCTGTTTTGGTCGAACTAGGGCGTAGGCTCGCCTTTGGGGTTGTCCAGGGTCTCCGACTCATTTTGACCACTGGCAGGTGGTCGACAGGGTCTGCCGCAGAGCCACGAAGGGGAAAGACCTGGGCCAGGTGGTGGAGGACCGACTTGAGCCAATTTTCACGACCGGGACACATCGATCAAACCAACACAGTTTCAATTTGAGCATTTTTCAACAGGAATCCTCATATGGTGTCATTTAATTGAAGGAACGAACATTGTAGTTTCAGGTTGTAATTTAACAGGGTTTTCCCCTCGCCTGCACTATGTGGGACAGCTCGTGACGCTGCCAAGCAGGTTTGATCCAAGAAACTAGCCACCGAAACATGGCGGAGGTATTGGCCAGAATCCTTGTGTTTTGTTGTCGGAAACTCTGCTGGGTGGCAGAAACCGGACAGAACCATTTGTAGCTGGTTTATGGTGTATTTGATTCAAGCTGAAGGGAGCTTGCCCCACTCGCTGACAGCTCCCTTGTTTGGGAAAGTTACATTCAGTGCCGCGTTGATCTGGTTCTCCAGCATCCACCTAATTGGTTGGGCAAGGTCGAAGATCTAAACATGTTGATCTGACGGTGGAAACAGGGCTGGCAAACCACCTGTTTTTATTTTGTCGGCGCAGAGCAAGGTCGAAGATGTAAACATGTTGATCTGACGGTGGAAACGGGGCTGGCGAACCACCTGTTTTCGTTTTGTTGGCGCAGGGCAAGGTCGAAGATGTAAACATGTTGAACCAGGCGGGGCCCTTCCCCCGGAGGCTTTGCTGCAGCTATGCAGCAGCTCACTCGACAACTTGACATTGGTGGCCATTGAGCTTGGGGCTGTGGAGCCAAAGGCCGGGGCTTCGGAAGATGGCTCCGGACGCGATCGGGTTTTAGGGCTCCAAGCGGGTCAATGTTAGATGTCCCCTGGGGGAAGCCGCAAAGTTTCACTTACAGTTTCACTTTCCAGACGAAGCAATAGACTTTCTCACTTGCCTGGAGCGGATTTACCCGTACGAAAGTGATAATGGGAAAGTAGATTCTTTGAGTGGGTACCGCTGTCTTGCATGCTTAGGGGCGGTGTTGAACCTTAGCTTGTCACTTGTCACTTAAACTTGTGAGTGAACTTTGCGTGTATTCTAGCTTTGGAAGTCCGGGAGCTATCTCATGCTGACTTTGTGCCACGAGTGCCAAACGAGCAGCGAGCGAGCCGGAGTTTCTGTTTTTGGGTAGCGTGATGGGTAGACAGTAAACACACCTTTGGAAACCCAAGGGACGCTTAGTGGATCGAAGGCCTGAAGCATCCCAAGCCGCCTTTACTAAGTGAGACGAGTAATTGCTGTTGCAAAAGGGTCCTCTGCAACTACACATGCTCATGTTGATTTGCAGAGGAGTGTGACTCAAGTTCCACAACCCGCTGAGGGAAAACTCTGGGAGGCCCTTTTTACGAAGGCCAAAGGGAAAAGCCAGTACCCCTGATGTGATAGTCTTATTTTTAGTTGTGTTCCATTAGCAGCCTTCCCTGAAGGATGATGCGGTCACGATGAATGCTGGCGACTTTTTGAAAGCGAGAAGGGAGGCAGTGCCGCGGACTCAGCGGGTTGTCGCTCCACTTTGCTTGTATTTGTTGGCCCTATCGTGTACGAACACGACAAGAGAGCATCCGCCGATTCAGCCACCGCCGATTCAGTGCCTTTGTAACTTACTTGAGAGTGCCCGTTGATTGCTGTTGAAGGAAGATCGTTGAACACCAAGGCGAACACACGCACGCACACACAGACACACACATCCACAGTCGCGAATTCTGCCACGCCCAGACCACCTCAAAGCCTGCTTCGCGTGACAAAATCGGAAAAGAAGTCCTCATCAACATGCTGGTTGGTTTGGCTTATGCCAACCGATAGGATAACTCAACACTCAAAAGCCTGAGACAGCTTTCTCGGGCCAACAGCCGCAGTTTGGCACAACACATTTCTTTCTTGTTTGGACGTGAAGCGATGCGAGTCTGTCATCTCAAGCCAAGGCTGGCGCAGCACCGTGGCAGCAGCGGGAGTGCCAGAGAAGGTGCCATCGCGACGTTCGGTCCAGATACCCAGCAGTTTCTGGTCAATTCGGGAGAGATGTTGGACACTCACTAAGTTTCTCGCGAAAGCCCGAGGGACTCGCGAATCTCTCCAACTCCACGCGAGCTGCATAAGTAGATGGTTTGCTCGCGCATTTTTAATATTTTGTTTGATTTCGATTGGTCGATGCGAGTACATACCAATGCGATACTGGTCTACATGGCGCACGGGCCACAGGAATCTAAAGGCCTTATGTGAAGTGCACCCACCATAGTTTTAAAGGTGAAACGTCAACCAGGTTGATTGCACATGTGCCCTGTCGTCAAAGGCTAGAGTTAGAGGTCCGAGAAGTTGGAGGGTTAGTCAGGTCAAAAGTATTCTGGGGCTTGGCTTTAGCAAAGGGGTTTGCGGATTCCACTTGTGGTTCCATGTTCCTTTTTTGCCAAGACTAGATAAAAGGAACGCCTGGACACGCAAGGCAGGGAGTTTGCCACCAAGATGGTTTGTCACCTAATTCGTCGTGATGTTTGTTCCCTTGGTGGTTCGTTTGGTGACCAGATGTCGCAGAATTTGGGTTGCTGAGGTATAAGTCATTTGGGCTGCGATTTGGCTTTAGCCTCGAGAAGAACATTCCGGAGCAAGGGCCAGCTTCCTTGGCATTGGTGAAGACTGCTGCTCGGCGCTGGACATTTGGGTTTGTTTTTGAGTGGGGGGGGGGGCATCCTCCTGGGTGGTTTCCAGTTTGTTCCCCCCCCCTTGCAACTGGTAGCGTTGCAAAAGACACCTTTTTTTGAGTACGAGGACCAACATGAAAGAACTATGATTCGGAGGGTAACGTGTTTACATGCAACCCAAGGTATTGAACACAGAAGCAAAGCCTTGGATCAATGTGTGTTTTTTTGTATGCGTATCCATGTTGAGGCATGTTGCCCCAGTGCTCCTCAAGCCTCAGCAAAAAAGGAATCATCGTGGAATTCTGCCAGACTAGTGTTTGTTTGCGCGGGCGTGTGCGTCGTGCATAAGGGTTTTCGTTTGTGTGTGTGTGTAAATCTAGATACCAGTTGGTTCAATGTCGTTTCACTCTGAATCCGCCCCCCCACCCCCGGCCAGCCAGTCCCTAATTTGAACACAAGGCCACCCAATGATTCAAGTCAGATCTATAGCACCCTCGGAAACCACTCATATATCAGAGCAGTTGCGCAACATAAGCAGTTAGGCTAGAGTTCTTGCCAGTTCCTTTGTGGGTCGGTCGCTGTGAACTTGACCAGCACTTGATGATTTGTTGCAGCAAGGGCACGTTGATCGGTTGTGTGTGTGTGTGTGTTGATCAGCACACACTTCCATCCATACGTGTGTGTGTGTGTAAGTGCCACAACTGTGTTGCTCTTAGCAAACTTCAGCACTCAAAACTACATTCAGTTGACCCCAGCATTGGCCAAGATGTTGGCTTGCGACATCCGCAGGCATCAATAATTCACAGATCCGTAGAAGGTTTTCTCGCGGATTTTTCTTTTGGGATTAATGGACATTATCACCTTTTGCGGTTTTTTAGAAGTGGCATCAAGCCGGTGGGACAATGTTGAAAGGGGAACATGGGAACGCTGCACAGCTGGACAATCTTTTCAGGTGGTTGGTGACTTCTTACGCCATCCCAAAAAGGATCCACTGAACGGCAACATAAGGGAATTCGGCGAGGCCGAGGAGACAGGCCAAAAGAAACCAGACCCTCCAACCTGTTTTACTCACCAGCAATGCCAGTGTGAATTCTCAGGACCTACTGTTTGTATGACAAACACGCAAGATGGGGTTCTTTTGGAGTCTCAGGAACCGAACCCTCCGCGAAGAAGGTTTCCGGAGTGGCCTTTGCCATCGTCGCAGCCCGGGCAGCAGACAGACTTGCTGATGAACAGACCAATCTGGGCATTGGCTGAAGCTCCGTTGTTCCCTTTTTTCCATAACAAATTTATAAGGGTCGACCAAGTCTGCGACGGAATCGGAGAACCTACTTTTTTTGTGCGCCCCATGTGCGGGCCACGTTTTGACATCACACATCGCACGGTTTGATTTGCTGAATATGGACGAGAATCGAATAGTGCCATGTTGCAAAAGCTGAAGTGAGTAGCTGAAGTCAGTTCAAGCAATCAGATGGGTCAATCCCCCTTACCCCTTTCCGGACACTTTGGACAAGTTGGATCTCCAGAAGCCGGGGGCGGGACAGGCAAGGTTGCATGATGCAGTACGTCCTGGGATTGCAATGTTGACTCGAAGCCATCTCCACAGGCCTTCTCACAATTCGTCATTTTCTAGCAAATGAGAGATTTTGATCCTGCTGATCTTGGTCTCAGGAACACAAGCTCGACGTCAAAGGCAGATGCTTCGAAGTGCCGAGTCTGAATACCGCTTGCAGTGCACTCAAGATCAATCCTCATGTCTCTTTCGATATGATTCGGTACTGTACGGAAATATGAACAGAATCTGAACACATTTGTTTGGTGCGGGTGAAGAATCGTTTTGGTGGGCCAAGAATCGTCAATTAAGATCCCCTTGGGGCCTCAACGAAGGGCATGGTTGGGGACATGACACCACGAAAGGGCCCTGAGCAACAAAGTGATGGCTCAACATCACAGACAGGGAAACGATGGAGGAGGGAACACCAAAATCGGTCAAATATGTTCCCATATTCGTCTTGGATTCAGGCAGACAGACAGACTGGCGCAAAATGAAAGGGCCAGTTTGGGCACCTCTTTGGACATCCTTCTATATTATTTAAGGCTTACTGAATATCCAAAATCTAGCAATGTCAGATTCGGGTCGGCAAAAGCCATAGACGAATATGAGCCAAAACAATGACATTAATTTGGGTGCTGAGACAGCAGCTTTTGCGCTTACCAAATCATCTAGAGGATGTCATGTGAATAATGGACGTGTATCCGTCTAGGGAAGTCCCCAGAGTTCCCAATGGATTTTTTTCCTCACACGTGAAAACAGGCTGTTTTCGGATGTTCCCTGTTTGGACAACTCATGGGAGTGTTCCCAAGAACCAATGTGCATCTCAGTTCAAATTGGACCAATGCTGAAGTGGCAGAAATAATTTCATCCTCATCCACCGATGTTGAGGACGCCCGGGCATTTTTCGCCTTAGCAAGCGAGTAGAAGACGACAGGCGGCTCACTGTGTTGAGGCAACGTCCAATGGGCTTGGCTTCCTTTGGGTCTCTCATTGGATTTTATGCAGTCCGGTTCGCGCCTCAGGGATCACACGAGTCCTTCGGAAACATCCACAGAGGTGGAGTGCCGGGTATGCAATTGGTGCATCGAAGACAAGAGGTGCCGGTGTTTTGGCAAGCTCATAAGGGATGAAATCTTGGCAAAGCCAAGCAGGCTGCATTCGCCCAGTGATGCCAAGGACGAGTTTTCAATTCCTCGGATTGGGCTTGCCCGGTTGCCACGGATCTCACTGTCCTGGTTTTTTGTCGAGAGGTGAGTCATGTAAGCCCCATGAATTCGAGGGTGGCTGGGCAACCCGATTGCCATAAGGACGCTGTGTGGGACGCTTTTCCGATTTCAAGCCTTCTCAAGTATTGCTTAGGCTTACATATTGAAAAAAAGAGAGCGACTGCCGTGGGCGTATGTTTTTTTTTGCAACGTTTCGAGTGGATTTTCGAGTTGACCTACGCTGGAATCATTTGTGTTTACATGTCAACTGATCAGAAAAAGACATTCGATTGGAGATACAATACTTTGTAAATTCTGATTTACAATAGGAGGAAGTACCTAAATTCTAATATAACATAGACATTATGATTGGATTATTCCCTTATCAAATTCTGTTTCAACTCCACTATGATTGTAAAGTTCTATTGGGAAACAATTCCTTATCTAAGTTATAGGTTAAAGATATGTGTTCCAGTAGGATTCTGATCAAGTATTTTCTTTATTTGAGTCCCATTCAAATCCTATTCAAACGGCCATGGGTGAAGATGCGCATTGAGTACTCAAAGCGCTACACATCACGGTGTTTCACGGTGTTGTCTGATCATGGCAGCGCTTGGGCCAGTAAAACATGGGCACGATCTTAGGACCTCTGAATTCTTTGTTTATGACTTCTACTTAACATGTTTATTATATTCTACGCAATTGAAACGGAAGTGACTAGATATCTTTTCCTTTGAATTAAACAATGATTAATCCAGTTGGACAGGATGTCCTTGCCTTTTTTCAAAACAGTACACATTTATTCACAACTTACTCAACAATTTTGGGACCTCTGAATTCGTCTAGAAAGCGCTTTGGATGCAACTTTTGTGGATTTACCCTTGTAGGATATTATCAGGGGTAAGAACAGGTAAAATCCACAAAGAACGCGTCCAAACCGTTTTCAATAATTCTATTGAATATAGTTATCAGGTTCTATTTTTCTCTAGCTCAAAATAAACAGAACTGAAGAGGGAAATGCTACAATCATAAATGTTTTTAATTAAATTGCAAATATGATTATTCTATTTCAATTTAGACGTTTCTCTTTAAACGCAGTAAGCAATCAAGCGCAGTTTATTACACAAATTTGGGATCTCAGTTCTTCCTTTATACATTCTGCTTAATTAATATATATATATATATATACACATATATGTATATCAAGTTCTACTTTTTTCTAACTGAAACTAAGAAGAGTGTACCAAGGAAAGAATCCAATCAGAGGAATCAATCTTTGGCTTGCTGTACTGGGGCTTGGATGTGAACTACGCAAATCACTTGGACACAAGTGCTCTTGCAAACAGGCCGGCCGGACACGGGACCATGCAACAAATGCAAATAAAAACAGACATAGTCTTGTTTTTTGGATTCTTTGGTTTGCTTGAGGTTTTTCATACTCTTCCAACAAATGCAAAACACGCCTCGAGACAACCAAAAAACAAAACAATATTATTCCCCAGCCCAAAGCAGGACAGCTGACATAGTCCAGGTTTTTGGGTTTCTCGAGATTTTCCGATGTAAAATTCGAGAAAACCAAAACAACTAGACTATGCCCCCCAAGTCAGCACAGCTGACATAGCCTTGAATTTTGTATGTTTAGTCCTTGTTTGGTTTTCTCGAGTTTGTTTGTGACGAATGCTGTTATCAATCTTGGATCTGGCAGATTCTGCAGTTGCTTTAGGAAACTAGAGAGCTCTGCTTCGACCCCTCCAACGTCTTCGACCCCTCCAACGTCAGAGAATGCTTCCGAGTGCTTGACTTGTAATGCCGATATTTTCATGCATGCTGTCCCTTGCCAACGAGTCGAACACCGACCAGGCAGTCTTGTTAGCCACTTAGAACAGTTGTGCTTTTGATTAGTCCATCCCTAACTTCACGCGGGCACGCGCCCGGTTTGAATATGGCCTGCCCTTCCTTTGAAGCTCTGCTTTTGAATCACCGTGGATGCGAGGCCGACCATCGACGACACGCAGGAAGGCTTCGATCTGCGGAGCATCCTGCAGACGCTGTCGGCCGGGTTTCCTGTGACTCAGCAGCAAGGAAAGCAACGAGAGAGCATGCCCACGTTTGTCATATTTAGCCGCATGTGTTTATGCGCTTGATCTCTGCAAGAAGAAGCAGCAAGTGCAGGTGTCACGGACCAAGGCACGTATCCTACACAGCCTAAAAAGCACAGGCTTTCTGGGTGTCGCTCTCTGAATTTCTTATCACAGTGTGCCTAATGGCAGACGAGTATTCTTGCTGAACCATGTTTCGCACTGATCAATGCATGCAGTCGATTCCTCGTTCGTGAGGCAGATGTTTGTTTAAGTGAGGCCCCGCACTTCTCCCCGTGCTTTCTCTGCACAAGAAACATTTGAGCTTGCGAACTAAGGCTTGGTTCGGCTGCTGCGGCACGCGCAAAGCCCAGTGCTGGTAGCCCCTCCAGCAGCTGAGTTTGTAACAGTAGTGTGCATGATTTGATCAATTTGAAGGAGAGGCCGCGGTCGGTGCGCACAAAGTCTTTGCGCCTGCTGAAAAAACTGTTTCGTGCGTACAAAGCAACCCGGTGTGAGCCGCGTGTCCCAAGCAGCCTTTCTGAGTTGATCAAAGGAAAGCCAAAAGGATAGGGGACAAGCCCGTCGCGTGTAAAGCACATACTCATTCTTTCAACCACGTTGCCATGGAAGCCACCAATGACGCGAAGGTGCATGTAAGAGAAACATCATTGTCTTCCAGGGGTTCATGCATTGGAAGGTGATTAGATTGTCCCTTGCAAGTCGACAAGTCAGATGTGGGCATCGAGCCCGTGAGCGGTAGAGACCATGGAGATCATGAAGCCTGAGCTTTCTTTGGGTGCGTATGAGTAGGGGTTCCCTCGGTGCCGCCAGTGAACGGGAAGCTCAACATGGGGAACTCTTCACAATGGGCGATTTTCCTTTGGCTCCCCTTCAAAACAACCAAAGAGAGCACACCCTCAAAGCAGGCCCAGATGGGTCGCAACTCGGTGGATGCTTCAAGCTGCAACTGTCAGTGTTTGATGTCAACACCGGCCGGCATGCTAAGACATATTGATGCTTGTGTTTGCGCTATCTTCCTGGACCTGATTTTTCTCCGGTGGTGAGAGGCCTGCTTTGCTCTGCCTCCTGCTCCACCGATTCCGTTGTTTTTGCTTGGCGTGGATGATGTCTGGCAGCTGGCTCAAGGGTCAAGGATTCAAATGTTACACATTCTACAAGGACATGCACCGATACGCAATGCGACGTGCAGGAGAACAGCTCGACAAAAGGCCCTGATGTCCCGCATCTTTCCTTGGAGTTTCTCCTTTGACTCGGCATCTTGTCGTGAAAGATGGTGCTGGGAGAGACCGTGACGGCCACGGTGCAGCGCCGCAGCCAGGGGAATCTTGGCCGGGCGGCGTCGGCCTGTATGCAGGCAAGGGGGCGGCTTCTTGCGCTTTATACTTGAAGACTATTTTGACGGAGAAAGTTTGGACTTGTGTTGGCCAGAACATTTGGATGTTGTGTTCATTCCAAGGTTGTTCCACCCTGGCCGCTGGCAAACAGCCTTGGGTTTGCTCAATTTGAGTGGTGCTTGCTGATTCGTACCTAGGTTAGAGTCTGCAAAAGCGAGGGTCAGGGGCACAGAATGTGAAGCGTATGCTCGTTGGGTTGGGAAGATGCCAGGGTGCTGAGGATATTTAGTCGGCGCTCGCCCGCGCGCAGCTGAGCGACTGCTCAAACACAAACTTTTAGTTCCGCGCCAGGATTTCAAATCGACCGTGCGCCAGGGCGACAGAACCAGCTTCGAGGATTTCCACGTGCTTGACCAGACGGCCGCTCTTGTGGCCGTCTTTGATGGCCACTTGGGTGACGAGGCGGCCGCCTTTTGCGCGGAGAGGCTTCCGCTGCATTTGGCCAAGGCGCCTGGTGTGTGTATGTGTGTGTGTGTGTGTGTGTGTGTGCGTGTGCGTGTGGGTTGGCGGCGCAATGGCTGCGCCTTGAACTCGGAGTCCTCACACCCACCAACGGCACTGGTTTCCTTTTGGCTTCCACGAAAGCTAGCTATGCTAGCATTGAGTTTTGCTTTGATTTGGCAGCAATTTCAGGGCTGGATTGTTTGTTTCAGTCTTTAGGGGGGGGATACTGATTCGGATTGATCCTCCACATGTTTGTGGCTAGGAAAGCTTTTTTAAGGTCCTGGTCCAAGTTTGGGTTGGGGCATGGGAAACCCTGCGTAGGAAGGGCTAGAGAGGCTAGACGGTTTGTATGTCTCGAAGCTAGCTTGCGCCTTTGGAACCCGTTCCGATGTCATTTCCGTTTTCATTCTGGGGAGAGTGTCGTTCCAACATGTCTTTGTGTCGAAACCAGCATGCAAATTGGTCTGCGGTGGTTTAGGGTGTCAATATTTTGACATTCCTTCTACCCAATACGTGCAACAGTTCTTCCAGAGTCGGATCTCAAACTTCGTCCATGAGGCTTTGTCAAGAGGCAAACCCACATTTTCTTTTTCAGTCGAAGCCGTTATGGCCACGAGTGCCTGTGAGGCGGAGACTGCCAGCGAGTGGCAGGAGGCCTTCAAGGCCTGCGACGCGGAGCTGCGCGAGCGCCTGCCGCAGACCGAAGCCGGCACCACGGTGCTTGGGCCAGATCAAAGCGTCGGGGGGAGACGATTTGTCATGATTTCAAGGGCTGAGTGTTGAAGATTTGGGGGATTGTCGGCACGAGACCCCTAAATATGGTTCCAGCCGTGTAAGCTAAAACTCGTAGTGATGATCTTGTGTAACCACAGCCACACCGACTCCACAAGCCCAGCTCCAGCCGTGATTTGCAAGTGCGATCTCGCCGTGACGTGGCCCAGCCGTCCAGAATGCGTTTGGATCTTTACAAATCTGTTTTTGGCGGGATGCGTCTTTCAAACAGCTGCAAACTTCTCGCAAGGCCCTGCCATCAAAAATGCATTTGGCTCTTTACAAAGCGTTTTGCCAGCTGCGAGAAAAAGAAACACTACTGCAGCCTCCGTTCGTCCTGGCCCAGCCGTCAAGTGTGCAATTCATACTTAAAGTTGGCATGAAGCCGCAGCGGCAAATAATGGCAAATAGGTGCGGTTTGCGCGTCGCTGTGACATTGAAGGCCGCTTTTTGCGCCTGCCACCATGTTGCGTGAACGCTGGATCTAAACCCGCGCTTCTGGGGTCGCAAGGCAAGCGCCAAACCAGCCTCCCAGCCGGGTAGAGCCCCCGCAAGGGGGGTGGGGGAGGGGGCGGAGGGCGGGATCCTGTGAGGCCACAGTTGTGCGTGTCAAGGAGAGCTCCCAGGACCGGGCGCGCTTTGGCTCCCATGTTGCTTTTGAGATACTTTGGTGTTGTGATGCAAGCGCTACGCAAATGAAAGTGACCTCTTGGCGGACAGCTGTGCGACCTGATATATATATATATTTTAATGCTGCAATAGTTCATTTGCTAAAAAGGGACACGCTTAGCAAGAGGGTCTAGGCAAGATTGTCGACACTACAGCGGCTCCCCATGTTGCTGGTAAACAAAGGTATATTCTGGATTGCGGGTGGCTTGGCGCCTGCTACAGGACGCTCTCGAGCTCTTAGTGGGAAGTTGTGGAGATTGTCGCGCTGTCTTATGGCAGAAGGCGCTTGGGCATGGGGAGCTGGAAGGAATGACTTTTCAGCCCTGATCAGGGGAAAAAAGGCTGACTTAAGAACCTTCTTTCAGGGAGTTTGGTTGTTTGCTCTCTTAAGCGGGGGCTTACAAGGCGCAACTCATCGTTTAAGGTGAGCGAACTTTGCTGATTTGAGGGAATCCTCAACACCCATGTTTGCTGTTCTCTGCTTGCCTCCCATTGATCCATTTCGTGTTATGCATGTCTGGAAGCATGGGCCTTCAAATGTTAGTGGAATACCAAACAACCGCATCCTTAATACTCCTGATGTGATGTGGCCAGGGTATAAACCCCCTGATGTCCCTCACGTCGCTATGCCGCGCAGGAAAGCAACACGCTTCTATCAACAAGAGACCATCGGCCCAGCGACGCGGACGAGCGTCGGAGAATCGAAGCCGCTGGTGGGGAAGTCACCAAGGACCCTCGTAGAGTCGGAGAGGGAGAGGCGACTGACCAAGGAAGGAAGGCAGCAAGCAAACAGTCAGGCAACTGGTTGAATGCGCAGCCAGAAGGTGCGCCCGAACCTTGGAATCTCACACATGTATTGTGAACTGATGTGATCCCCAATCAAGGAATCAGGTGCAGGATGTTGAAACATCTACCGTACCCAGGGACTTTTGACATGTCAGGCAGGGCAATCCAGTTGATCGCCCAGCAACCTCTCCTCATCCAACATGGGACCTGCGAAAAGTGCAAGATCCCCTCCTGCGTGTGACACATGCAAATCGCTGAATGGCACAGTGTTATTCAATAGTCTTGCTCATGCTGCTTGTGATATCTTTGTTTGACACCATTTAGACGGAGTGTTTATTGAAGTTTAAGCTTGGAAAACCGTTGTTTCAACCCCAGTGTGCGTTGGTTTGATCTTGTAAAACAAATCGAGGGATGCTTTGTTTGCCTTCCAGCTTTGTTGTTTGCTCGGCCTTGCCTTGCCCTGGCCTTGCTTGATTGCTTGTTTGGCCTTGCTTGCTCGTTTGGCCTCGCTTGCAAGGCCCAGCAAGCGAGCAACTTTGTTGTTTGATTTCTTGCTCGGCCCCGTTTTTTGGCCTTGCATTGGTTGGCCTTGCGTTGCTTGGCCTTGCATGATGTTGCTTGCTTGCACGCTTGCTTGCTTTCTGCCTGGCTGGTGGGCTTGCTTGGAGGTTCTTTGCCGTGCTTGACTTGGCTTGTATTTGTTAATGTTCCTTGGCCCGTCCAGACGCATCCTTGTTGGTTTCAACAGGAGGACCCAGACGACCCACCGCGAGTGGATGGCGTCCTATCATGCAGCCGTGCGCTTGGGTCCTTCGAGCTGAAGCAGGAGGCACTTTGGCCGGAGGACCTGGCTTTTGGGCTCGGGCTAGCGTATCGAGCTGGTTTTTTTGATGTTGGTTGGATATCCATTCAATTCATGCCTCATTTCAGCTCCATATGGAGCCATAGTAAGGGCAGCCGAGTGGTGAGTGTTGCTCTCGACAGGACCAAAAGGTCTCCTGCTTGCCAGACTTCTATAAGTGGCACGCCACGCGGGGGGACTGGCTGATTCTTGCCTGCGACGGGATCTGGGACGCGGCTTCCAACGAGCAGGCGGGGTCAAAGTTAAGCACATCCGCCACAATTTTTGCTAGAGGGGTGATGGGGGAACCCCGGAAAAAGAGCCTCGTGGTTGATGTGTTGGGGGTGGTGGGTCTCATCTTAGAGATCCTTCACTCTCAGGGGAACAACCCCTATCAGTCCACAAAACATTCATTCCAGGGTCGACAGTACCCAAGTCAAGGCCTGGTATTTTATGCTTGAGATGTGTGTCGGTAGTTTTGTTCACTTGTTTTGGTCGGAATAGGGCGTAGGCTTTGGCGTTCACCTGCCGGCCTGCACCGGCAGGTGGTCGACAGGGTCTGCCGCAGAGCCACGAAGGGGAAAGACCTGGGCCAGGTGGTGGAGGACCGAATGGAGCAGATGTTCACGACCGGGTGATAGAAAGGACATTTGATCAAACTCTGTTTCAATTTGAGCATTGTTCAACAGGAATCCTGATATGGTGTCATCTAATTGAAGGAACCAACATTGCAGTTTCAGGTTGTAATTTAATAGGGAGTTTTGCGCTCGTCGGCACGATGTGAAACAGCTGTTGACCCGGCCAAGCAGGTTTGATGCAAGAATCTAGCCACCGGAACATGGTGCAGGATATTGGCCAGAATGCTTGTGTTCTGTGGAAACGCATGCTGGGTGGCAGAAACCCGACAAAACCGTTTGTAGCTGGTTTATGGTTTATTTGATTCAGGCTGAAGGGAGCTTGCCCCACTCGCTGACAGCCCCCTTGTTTGGGCAAGTCGCATTCAGTGCCGCGTTGATCTGGTTCTCCAGCATCCACCTGATTGGTTGGGCAACGTCAAAAAATGTATACATGTTGATCTGACGGTGGAAACGGGGCTGGCGCACCGGTCTTTTGTTTTGTCGGCGCAAGGTCGAAGGCGTAAACATGTAGGCGGGGCCTTATCGCAGAGGCGATGCTGCAGCTCTGCAGCCGCTCGCTCGACAACTTGACGTTGGTGGCCATTGAGCTTGGGGCCGTGGAGCCGAAGGCCGGGGCTTCCGAAGATGAAATTGGCTCCGGACGCGGGGTTTACGCAAAGCAGCTTGACTTTCCGGGTTAGGTTGTTCGCGGCTCTCGAGCCCATGGCACGAAGCAATAGACTCTATTCAATAGACTTTCTCACTTGCCTGGAGCGGATTTACCCGTACAAAAGTGATAATGGGAAAGTAGATTCATTGAGCATGCGTAGGGGCGGTGTTGAACCTTAGCTTGTCACTTATCACTCAAACTTGTGAGTGGCTTTTGCCAACCGGTTCCCTGCACTCGGCACTGCGTCCACGCCGGCCAAATGATTTGCACACCCGATCAAGCGCACCCGCTCAGCACTGCGTCAAAGTTTTTGAGCCGCTGCGCTTGCGACAAAAACGTAAGGCGAAGGGCCGCGCAAAGCGACCAAGTTTAGACTTGGCGTGCCGGGTAGCTATCTCATGCTGACTTTGTGCTACGAGTGCCAAACGAGCAGCGAGCGAGCCGGAGTTTCTGTTTTTGGCGTGATGCTTTGAAAGGAAACACACCTTTGGAAACCCGGGACGCTTGGATCGAAGGCCTGAAGCATCCCAAGCCTGACGCTAGGTGAGAGGAGTAATTGCTCTTGCAAAAGGGTCCTCTGCAACTACGCATGCTCATGTTGATTTGCAGAGGAGTGTGACTCAAGTTCCGCACTCACACCACCTGCTGGCTCTGTCTCACGCTGAGGGAAAACTCAGGGAGGCCCGTTTTACGAAGGATACCCCTGATGTGATAGTCGTCTAATATTCAGTTCTGTTTTTCAGTTGTGATCGATTGGCAGCCTTCCCTGAAGGATGATACGGTCACGATGAACGCTGGCAACTTTTTGACAGCGAGAAGAGAGGCAGTGCCGCGGACTCAGCGGGTTGTCACTCCACTTTGCTTGTATCCGCTGGCCAACCTATCGTGTACGAACGACAAGAGAGCAAACCCTGCACGAGATGATTCGATTCAGCCACCGCCGGTTCAGCCAACGCCGATGAAGCGCCTTTGCAGTTTTCTTGAGAGTGCCTTTTGTTGGATAGGAGAACTAGACACTCGAAGGCCTGAGACAGCATTCTCGGACCAATAGACGATAACACATTTCTCACAAGGTGTCCTCTTGCTTTGGCTGAATGGAAGACCCCCCGCCCCCCCAGCAGCAATTCCCTAATCATCAGAGGTTTCACCAGAATCACTCATTTGTAGAAGGAAAGTGCCCTGTGGGCCCAACAGATGGGCGTTCATGTGTTTTAGCACGTAGTGGGCCCTTATTGCGTTGTTGTAGTTTGTTTCTCGTTTTGACGTGAAGCGATGCGAGTCTGTCATCTCAAGCCAAGGCTGGCGCAGCACCGTGGCAGCAGTGGGAGTGCCAGAGAAAGTGCCATCGACGTTCGCTCCAGTTTGTCAATTCGGGAGAGATGTTGGGGGTCTAGCAAAAGTTCGAGGGACTCACGAATCTCTTCATGTCCACGCGAGCTGCATAAGTAGATTGTTTGCTCGTGCATCTTTTCTTTTGTTTTTATTTCATTTGATTTCTATTGGTCGATGCGAGTACAAGAACACTACCAATGCGATACTGGTCTACACGGTGAATGGGCATCTAGAGGCTCTACGTGAAGTACACCCACGTGGCTTTTAAGGTGAAACGACTCTGCGACACGTACTACTAGCAAGGTCAACCAGGTTGGTTGATCGCGCATGTGCCCGTTCGTCAAAGGCCAGAGGTCAGAGAAGTTGGAGGGTTAGTCAGCTCAAGCTCGGCTTTGGCAAAGGGGTTGGCGGATTCCACTTGTGGCTCCATGTTCCTTTTTTGCCAAGACTAGATGAAAGGAGCGCCTGGACACGCAAGGGTTTGTCACCCAATTCTTCGTGATGTTTATTCCTTTGGTGCTCCGTATGTTTGTCTGGTTACCAGATGTCGAAGCATGTTGCTGAGGTATAAGTCGTTTGGGCTGCGATTTGGCTTTAGCCTCGAGAAGAACATTCCGGAGCAAGGGCCAGCTTCCTTGGCATTGGTGAAGACTGCTGCTTGGCGCTAGAAATTTGGGTTTGTCCCCCATTAGGAGGGGAGTATCCTCCTAGACTGGGTGGTTTCCAGTTTAGTTCCCCCACTTGCAGCAACGCAACAACATGTAGCGCTGCAAAAGACACACCCTTCTTTTGGGGTATGAGGACTAACATGAACGAACTATGATTGAGAGGGGAACGTGTTGACATGCAACCCAAGGTATTGAACACAGAATCAAAGCCTTGAATCAGTGTGTGTTTTTTTTGTATGTGTATCCATGTTGAGGCATGTTGCGCCAGTGCTCCTCAAGCCTCAGCAAAAAAGAAATCATATTGGAATTCTGCGATTTGTTTGCGTGGGTGTGTGCGTCGTGCATATGGGGTTGTGTGTGTGTGTGTAAATCTAGACACCAGTTGGTTCAATGTCGTTTGCACTCTGAATCCGCCCCGCCCCCCCCCCCCCAGTCCCTAATTTAACACAAGGCCACCCAATGATTCAAGTCAGATCTATAGCACACGTTGGCAAATGTGAACAGCTGGCAACTGGGCAACAACCGCACTCATGAGCCTCGTATATCAGAGGCTAGAGTTCTTGACAGTTCCTTTGTGGTCGCTCGCTGTGAACTTGACCCGCACTTGATGATTTGTTACAGCAAGGGCACGTTGATCAGTTGTGGGTTGTGTGTATGCTGATCAACACACACTTCCATCCATGTGTGTGTGTGTAAGTGCCACAACAAGATGTTGGCTTGTGAAATCCGCGCATGAACAATTCACAGATCTGTAGAAGGTTTCCTCGCGGATTCTTGTTTTGGGATAATGGACATGATCACCTTTTGGGGTCTTTGAAGTGGCATCAAGCCGGTGGGACAATGTTGAAAGGGGAACATGGGAACGCTGCACAGCTGGCTCAACCTCTTCAGGTGGTTGGTGCCTTCTTTCACCATCCCAAAAAGGGTCCACTGAACGGCAACGTAAGGGAGTTTGGCGACGCCGAGGAGACAGGCCAAAAATACCAGACCCTCCAACCTGTTTTACTCACCAGCAACGCCAGCGCGAATTCTCAGGACCTACTGTATGTGTGACAAACGCGCAAGATGGGGTTCTTTTGGCGTCTCAGGAACCGAGCCCTCCACACAGAAGGTTTCCGGAGTGGCCTTTGCTGCCATCGTCGCAGCCCGGGCAGCAGACAGACTTGCTGATGAACAGACCAATCTGGGCATTGGCCGAAGCTGCGTTGTCATTTTTTTCCATAGCAATTCTATATTTGAGGGCAGACCGAATCAACAGAATCGGAGAACTCATTATTTTGTGTGTGCGCAATACTGTATGCGGGCAATGTATTGACATCACACATTGCACAGAATCGAATAGTGCCATGTTGCAAAAGCTGAAGTGAGTGGCTGAAGTGAGTTCAAGCTAATCCCCTTGCCCTTTCCCTTTCTGAACACTTTGGACAAGTTGGATCTCCAGAAGCCGGGGGTGACGGGCAAGTTTGCATGATGCACTACGTCCTGGGATTGCAATGTTGATTTGAAGCCATCCTGTCCTTTCTAGGAAATGAGAGATTTTGATCCTGCAGATCTTGCTCTCAGGAACACAAGCTTGACGTCAAAGGCAGATGCTTCGAAGTGCCAAGTCTGAAATACCGCTTGCAGTGCACTCAAGATCAATCAATTATTGTATGGAACTATGAACCCAATAATCATCAATTAAGATCCAGAGATGCATGCCGCATGCCCAATTTTTTTCCAGGAAGCGCCTAGGAAAAAACAACCTTGGGGCTTTCAATGAAGGTCATGGGGACATGATACCATGAAAGATGGGCCAAATATGTTCCCGTTTTTCTTTTGGATTCAGTCAGACTGACAGACTGGCGCAAAATGAAAGGGCCAGTTTGGGCCAGTTTTTTTCTTCTTCTGGACATCCTTCTATAACTTAAGGCTTACTCAATATCCAGAATCTAGCAATATTCGGGTCATAGACGAACTTGAGCCAAAACAATTACACAGACAAAGTATCCGGGCGTGGAAGAGAACTCTCAATTTGGGTACTGAGACAGCAGCTTTGAAGTCTACCAAATCATCCAGAGGAGTTTATGTGAATAATGGGCATACATCAATGTGTATCCGTCTAGGGAAGTCCCCAGAGTCCCCAATGGATTTTTTGCTCACACGTGAAAACAGGCTGTTTGCGGATGTTCCCTGTTTGGACAACTCAGTTCAATTCAATGCTGAATTGGCAGAAAGAATTCCATCCTCATTCGATGTTGAGGACACCAGGGCATTCTCGCCTCAAGCAAGCAAGTAGGAGACGGTGTTTCTTCCTGCTTCTACAGGGCTCCTTAAAAGATACATTTTGCCCATTTGAAACATGGCTATTCCACCAAAATAAAGGGATACCGCCATTTACAAGGCCATGTTCAGGTGTATAATGTAAGGACCCCTGTTCTAGTTTAGGCTCACACAATAACCACAGGCGGCTCACTGTTTTGAGACACCGTCCAATGAGCTTGGCTTCCTCGATAGTTCAGAGTTTCTTGAGGAATTCTGGCCAGGGAGCACACAAAAAGGATTTTATGCAGTTGACTCCGGCAGTTCGCGCCTCAGGGACCACACGAGTCCTTCGGAAACATCCACAGAAGTGATGGAGTGCCGAGTATGCAATTGGTGCATGAGGCTGTGAAGACAAGAGGTGCATTGGGGTTTTGGCAAGCGCAAAAAGGATGAACTCTTGGCAAAGTCAAGCAGGCTGCATTGTTCGCGCTGGTGCAATGATGCTTGATGAGTTTTCAGGTCTCGACGGATTGGGCTGGTTGCCCGAGGGGTCAGCTGATTCTGATAAATACCCCCATCCGAGTCAGTGGCCCTTGGGCGGAGGGTTTCTTGGTGTGCGAAGATGAGTTGGAGAGACAACTCACCGTCCTTTCAGCTGGGTCGTTTGAGTGGAGAGTTGGATAACTTCTGATCCAAGACAGGCCATGGCCAGTGAGTGATAGTCACATGAGAGGGGCGCCGGGGTTGTGTCAGAGCGCAAGGGTTTCATCTTCGCCCTTCCGCCCACCAATACTGTTTCATGTTGAGCATTGGCCGAGCGAAGAATAAGGAATGCCGCTACCAATTTTGGACTCTGATTCAGTCGCTAGGAACCAAAAGAGCTCGGCTTCCACCCCTCCAACGTGGGAGGTTGACGCGGAGTGCCCGGTATGCAATTGGTACAGACCCAATGATCCCAGCCTCAACTCACTTTTCCACCCTGTGTCTTCCCCGTAGTGGATCAAGGTATGGATCTCCCACCCCCCACTCGGACTTTGACTTGTCATGACCACCTTTGCATGAGTATCAAGAATCCAAGCAGTCTTGCTGGCCACTTAGCGGCTCATGTCTCCAACAAGTGTACTTTTTGTTCGTGCATCCCTAACTTCACGCGGTCAAGCGCCCAGTTTGAACACAGGCTGCCCTTCCTTTGAAACATTGCGCTTTTGAAACACAGTGGATGTGAGGCGGACGATGGACGATATGGAGGAAAGCTTCGATTTTCGAAGCATCCTGGTGACTTCGCTTCAAAGGGAAGCATGCTCACGTTTGTGATATTTAACCGCCAGTGTTTGCGCACTTCAAGAAGGCACATATCCTACACAGCCTAAAAAGCATCGGCATTCTTGGAGTCTTTCTCTGACTTGCTTGTCCGCATGGCCTAGTATTCATTTTGAGCAATGTTACGCATTGATCAATGCATGCAGTCGATTCCTCGTTCGTGAGGGAGATGTGTGTTGAAGTGATGTCCACACCACTCCCCATGCTTGTTCCGCCCCCAGAACCCTGTAAACCTGCGAACTAAGGCTTGGTTCGGCTGCTGTGGAATGCGCAAAGCCCAACGCTGGTAGCATTTTTGCAGCTGAATCATTGTAACTTGTCACAGTACGCCATTTGAAAAAGAGTGCTTGCTTGCCAGACACGTGGCTGCTCGAGAAAGGGTACCCCCAAAATGGCACCACTGGGCGTGCAAATGTCAACACACTGTTCCTTAGGCACACGTTTTTTCTCTTCTTTTTTTTTTCAAAGAAAAAAACATATTTTTAGCCTCTCACACGACGCACCTAGCAACAAAACTGCCCATGGCAGAAGCGGTGGCTTGCCTGTCCAAAATGGGTTTGCATCAAGGTCACAGATTCACAGGCATGTGCATTCCAAAGCCAACCGAACGCGCATGTTTAGATGTGCAGCCACACGGGTGTGGCTCAAACGAAACAACTGAGGCAAACCTCAAGTTATATACCAGAGTCCTGCCGCGGTTTCTGGTGTCAGCATTTCACTGCTTTGCATGGATTAGGATTGTTTCAACGGCTGCTGGCCCAAGTCAGCAACAATTGCTCGACGCCTCGAAAAGACGCTGGCCGTGACGGCCATGACGCTGCAACTGCAACGCGATGGACGGCTGGGGAGGGCGCCTTCTGCATGCAGGCAGTGAGGGGGGTGGATTGCGGGTTCCATCGCCGGGCCTTGTAGGGCGTTCTCATGATGCGCAAAGTGGTTTCGGAACTTACCGTCCTTCCAACTGGCTTTGGGCGGAGAGTGACCTGGCTAGCTTATGATCCGAAGGGGCGCCATTTTCATCCTTCTTGCTTTGTTCAGACAGGCCGTGGGGGGAGTGGCCAGGTCGCATGGCCGGGGTTCTTCGAGCTGGCTCGATCGGGTTTCATCTTATGCGCCCTTCCGCCTCCCACTTTTTCATGTTGAGCATTTGTCACCGAGCAAAGAATCAGGAATGCTGTTCTTACTTTGGATCTGCTGGCAGATTCTGCAGTCGCTTTAGGAACCAAAAGAGCGCTATCTTCGACCCCTTGCCCAACGTCGGAGGCTCTTCTGATGTTGGCTGGATATCCATCCAACTCATGCCTCATTTCATCTCGATGTGGAGCCATGCTAAGGGGAGTTAGCAGCTGAGTGGTGAGTGTAGGTCGACAAGATTAAAAGGTTTCGTGTCGGCATGTTATGCTGGGGGACTGGCTGGCATTTGGGATGGGTCAAAGTTAAGCTTTTTGCTGGAAGGGGTGATGGGGGAACCCCGAAAGGAGAACCTCGTGGTTGATTTGTTGCGGGGTCGGGTGTCCCATTTTAGAGACCTTTTTTGTTTGTTTTTTTGCGGGGAACAACCCCCTATCAGTCCACAAAAATGTTTTTACTCCAGGGTCGACATTCCCCAAGTCACCTGGTATTTTACCTTCTACATGTGTGTGGGTAGTTTGCTTTGCCACCGTTTTTTTGGTCAAGATAAAGTGTAGGCTCGGCTCTGGGGTTGTAAGGGTCTCCGACTCATTTTGACCACCGGCAGGTGGTCGCCAGGGTCTGCCGCAGAGACAGACAGGACACTGATCCAACCAACATAGCGGAGTGCAAGGCGGGGCTTCGGAGCATGGTTCCGGACCCGAGGTTTTTGGGGGCTCTTGGGTTAATGTTAGGTGTCCTAAAGGGGGAATCCGCAAGGCAGTCAACTTTCCAGGCTATGTTGTTCTGAATGTCTCGAGCCCTGAATTGCACGAGGCAGGTGCATCTTTTGACCCTAGAGAAGGATGCCAGTTTGAGTGGGAAAGGGGTCAGTGACGGGTTGCAGTCAGGACCCTGCCGGTACAGCGGCCGCAGCGTGTCGCAGGCCGCACGATGAGCAGCGTGTCGCAGGCCGCGGGGGGAGTGGCCAGGTCGCATGTGCAAGCCCGATCGGCATACATCTCAAGCGCCCTTCCGCCTCCCACTTCTTCTTGAGCATTTGTCACCGAGCAAAGAATCAGGAATGCAGTTCTTTGATTTGGATCTGCTGGCAGATTCTGGAGTCGCTTTAAGAACCAAAAGAGCCGGACTTTGACTTTTCATGACCACCTTTTCATGAGTAGCAGTGCATGCTGTCTCCTCAAGAAACCAAGCCGTCTTGCCAGCCACTTAGCGGCTCATGTCTCGAACAATTGTGCGCTTGGTTAGTGCATCCCTAGCCTCACTGACACGCGCCCCGGTGCGAACGCGGGCTGCCCTTCCTTTTGAAACACGGCGGATGTGAAGCGAACGATTGACGACGCGCAGGAAAACTTCGATTTCCGGAGCATCCATCTGCAGAATGCTCCGGAATTCGTCCGGAGCTCGGTCCTGCAGATGCTGGCAGCCGGCTTCCCGTGACTCGGTTTCAACAGGAAGCATCAAGATATTTTTTCACATTTAGCCTTGACCTTTGCAAGACGCAGCAAGATTAGATTTCGCGGCCTAAGGCTCGTATCTTATGAGACCCAAGGATAATCCCAGCCTCATTTTCATGACCACCTTTTCATGAGTAACAGTGCATGCTGTCTCCTGCCAACGAGTCAAGAAACCGAGCAGTCTTGCCAGCCACTTAGCGGCTCATGTCTCGAACAATTGTGCGTTTGGTTAGTGCATCCCTAGCCTCACGCGGACACGCGCCCCGGTGCGAACGCGGGCTCCCTTCCTTTGAAACACTGCTTTTGAAACACTGCGGATGTGCGGCGGACGATTGACGACACGCAGGAAGGCTTCGATTTCCGGAGCATCCATCTGCAGAATGCTCCAGCAAATGGATGCTCCGAAAATCGAAGCCTTCCTGCGTGTTTGTCCGGAATTGGTCCTGCATATGGCAGGCTTCCCGTGACTCGGCTTCAACGGGAAGCAACACATGTAGCCTTGATAATTTGCAAGAAGCAGCAAGATTAGATGTCGCGGCCGCAGGCTCGTACCTTACATGGCCGAAAAAGCGCGGGCTTTCTTGGCGTCGCTCTCTGGTTGCCTAATGGCCGAGGGATCATTCATGCTTGCCAGTGGTTTGACCAGTTTACCCGTTGCCAGTAGGCTTTTTCTGATTAGCGGCCAGTAGCTACTTAGCATTGCTTGTTAATGTTGACCCCTGATTAACAAACCTTCAGCTAGTTATCAGGGGTCCCTTTTTAATAGAGATTCCTTTTTTCAGGGTTTCATGAATCAGGGGTCGAGAAACCCTCGACAACCGTGTTTGCTATTCACTGCTTTCCTCCCATTGATCCATTTCGTGTTATGTATGTTTAGAACTTCAACCGCTCGTGAAATGCCTAAACACGCTTCTCGCAACGAGAGACCATCGGCCCAATGACGCGGAGGAGCGTCAAAGAATCGAAGCCGCAGGCGGGGAAGTCACCAAGAACTCGGAGAAGAGTCGGAGAGGGAAAAGCGACTGGCCAAGAAAGGAAGCGAGCAAGCAAGCGAGCAAGCGAGCAGCCTTTCTGAGTTGATCAAAGGAAAGCCAAAAGGATAGGGGACAAGCCCGTCGCGTGTAAGGCAAATATTCATTCTTTCAACCATGTTGCTATGGAAGCCACCAATGACGCAAAGGTACATTTACCGTACGAGAAACATCATTGTCCTCCAGGGGTTCATTTGTTGGAAGGTGATTAGTTTGTGCCTTGGAAGTCGACAAGTCAGATGTGGGCATCGAGCCCGTGAGCGGTAGAGACCATGGAGATCATGAAGCCTGAGCTTTCTTTGGGTGCGTATGAGTGGGGTTCCCTCGGTGCCCCCAGTGAACGGGAAGCTCAAATTGGCTCTTTACAATGGGCGATTTTCCTTTGGCTCCCCTTCAAAACAACCAAAGAGAGCACACCCTCAAAGCAGGCCCAGATGGGTCGCAACTCGGCGGATGCTTCAAGCTGCAACTGTCAGTGTTTGATGTCAACACCGGCCGGCATGCTAAGACATATCGATGCTGGTGTTTTCGCTATCTTTCTGGATGATAAGCTGGCAGGGTCCTGATCTTTCTCCAGTGGTGAGAGGCCTGCTTCGCTCTGCCTCCTGCTCCATCGATTCCGTTGGTTTTGCTTGGCATGGATGATGTCCGGCAGCTGGCTCAAGGGTCAAGGATTCAAATGTTACACATTCTACACCACGCGGTCAAGGACATGCACCGATACGCAATGCGACGTGTAGGAGAACAGCTTGACAAGGCCCTGATGTCCCGCATCTTTCCTTGGAGTTTCTCCTTTGACTCGGCATCTTGTTGTGAAAGATGGTGCTGGGAGAGACCGTGACGGCCACGGTGCTGCGCCGCAGTCAGGGGAATCTTGGCCGGGCGGCATCTGCCTGTATGCAGGCATGGGGGCGGCTTCTTGCACTTTATATTTGAAAACTATTTTGACGGAAAAAGTCTGGACTTGTGTGGGCCAGAACATTTGGATGTTGTGTTCATTCCAAGGTTGTTCTACCCTGGCCGCTGGCAAAGAGCCTCCTTGGGTTTGCTCAATTTGAATTGTGCTTGCTGATCCGTACCAAGGCTAGAGTCTGCAAAAGCGTGGACGGTCAGGGGCACAGAATGTGAACCGTTCAATGCTTGTTCGGTTGGGAAGGCGACGCCAGGGTGCTGAGGATATTTTGTCGGCACTCGCCCGCGCGCAGCTGCAAAGCCACTGCTCAAACACAAACTTTTAGTTCCGCGCCTCCAGGATTTCAAATCGACCGTGCGCCAGGGTGACAGAACCAGCTTCGAGGATTTCCACGTCCTTGACCAGACGGCCGCTCTTGTGGCCGTCTTTGATGGCCACTTGGGTGACGAGGCGGCCGCCTTTTGCGCGGAGAGGCTTCCGCTGCATTTGGCCAAGGCGCCTGGTGTGTGTATGTGTGCGTGTGGGTTGGCGGCGCAATGGCTGCGCCTTGAACTCGGAGTCCTCACATTTACCAATGGGACTGGTTTCCTTTTGGCTTCCACGAAAGCTAGCTATGCTAGCGTTGAGTTTTGCTTTAATTTGGCAGCAATTTCAGGGCTGGATTGTTTGTTTCAGTCTTTAGGGGGGGGGAATACTGATTCGGATTGATCCTCCACATGTTTGTGGCTAGGGAAGCTTTTTTAGGTCCTGGTCCAAGTTTGGGTTGGGGCATGGGAAACCCTGCGTAGAAAGGGCTAGAGAGGCTAGACGGTTTGTATGTCTCGAAGCTAGCTTGAGCCTTTGGAACCCGTTCCGATGTCATTTCCGTTTTCATTCTGGGGAGAGTGTCGTTCCAACGTGTCTTTGTGTCGAAAACAGCATGCAAATTGGTCTGCGGTGGTTGAGGGTGTCAATATTTTGACATTCCTTCTACCCAATACGTGCAACAGTTCTTCCAGAGTCGGATCTCAAACTTCTTCCATGAGGCTTTGTCAAGAGGCAAACCCACATGGGTGTGGCTCAAAATTAAACAGAAGGGGTTACGCAGGTTTTGGTCCACGTTTCCACTTACCAGGGTTCTATTTTGGCACCGGTTTTTTGAGCCACAGCCACATGTTCTCTTTCAGTCGAAGCCGTTATGGCCACGAGTGCCTGTGAGGCGGAGACTGCCAGCGAGTGGCAGGAAGCCTTCAAGGCCTGCGACGCGGAGCTGCGCGAGCGCCTGCCGCAGACCGAAGCCGGCACCACGGTGCTCGGGCCAGATCAAAGCGTCGGGGGGAGACGATTTGTCAGGATTTCAAGGACTGAGTGTTGAAGATTTGGGGGATTGTCGGCGCGAGACCCCAAATATGGTTCCAGCCCGAACAGTGCAACTTCACTTTGTGTATAGTGATGATCTTCTGTAACCACAGCCGCACCAACTCCACAAGCCCAGCTCCAACTTTGATTTGCAAGCGCGATCTCGCCGTGACCGTGGCCCAGCCGTCCAGAATGCGTTTGGATCTTTACACATATGTTTTTGGCGGGATGCGTCTTTCAAACAGCTGCAAACTTCTCGCAAGGCAGGTAAGTACGAAATTGCACACTTGACGGCTGGGCCAGGACGAACGGAGGCTGCAGTAGTGTTTCTTTTTCTCGCAGCTGGCAAAACGCTTTGTAAAGAGCCATATGCATTTTTGATGGCACGAAGCCGCAGCGGCAAATAGGTGCGGTTTGCGCGTCACTGTGACATTGAAGGCAGCTTGTTGCGCCTGCCACCATGTTGCGTGAATGCTGGATCTAAAGTCGCAAGGCAAGCGCCAAACCAGCCTCCCAGCCGGGTAGAGCCCCCGCAAGGGGGGAGGGGGCGGAGGGCGGGATCCTTTTTTTTTTTTTGCTGAAGGATTTTGGTTCACATGTATACGCAGGCAGCGCAAAGTGTATGCAGCAGACATGCAGGTGTCAAGTTTTGAAGTTCAACCGCACAAAAGGGAGATGTCCCTAAAGTTGGAGACCTTTTGGTTCGTGTCTAAAGGAGGGATAGCTGGTCCATTCCAGCTCTGAAGGTTAACTTCCGCGTTTCACTAATTTTTTAGAAGCCAGCCAACATGTTTGCTCCCAAATTTTGGAATTTTCATCCCGAAGGATTGAAGGATCGAGAGAGAGTCGATGAAACCCGTCCGCCATTTTCTGCCGAGGCCACAGTTGTGCGTGTCAAGGAGAGCTCCCAGGACCGGGCGCGCTTTGGAAAACTCGGCTTGCTCCCATGTTGCTTTTGAGGTCTCCCGTGTTGTCATTTCGGCACTTTGGTGTTGTGATGCAAGCGCTACGCAAACGAAAGTGACCTCTTGGCAGAAAGCTGGGCGACCTGAACTATTCTTTTAATGCTGCAATAGTTCATTGGCTAAAAAGGGACACGCTTAGCAAGAGGGTCTAGGCAAGATTGTCGACACTACAGCGGCTCCCCATGTTGCTAGTAAACAAAGGTATATTCTGGATTGTGGGTGGCTTGGCACCTGCTACAGGACGCTCTCGAGCTCTTAGTGGGAAGTTGTGGAGATTGTCGCGCTGTCTTATGGCAGAAGGCGCTTGGGCATGGGGAGCTGGAAGGAATGACTTTTCAGCCCTGATCAGGGAAAAAAGGCTGACTTAAGAACCTTCTTTCAGGGAGTTTGGTTGTTTGCTCTCTTAAGCGGGGGCTTACAAGGCGCAACTCATCGTTTGAGGCCAAGGCTGGTGAGCGAACTTTGCTGACTTGAGGGAATCCTCAACACCCATGTTTGCTGTTCTCTGCTTGCCTCCCATTGATCCATTTCGTGTTATGCATGTCTGGAAGCATGGGCCTTCAAATGTTAGTGGAATACCAAACAACCGCATCCTTAATACCCCTGATGTAATGTGGCCAGGGTATAAACCTCCTGATGTCCCTCACGTCGCTACGCCGCGCAGGAAAGCAACACGCTTCTATCAACAAGAGACCATCGGCCCAGCGACGCGGACGAGCGTCGGAGAATCGAAGCCGCTGGTGGGGAAGTCACCAAGGACCCTCGTAGAAGAGTCGGAGAGGGAGAGGCGACTGGCCAAGGAAGCAGGAAGCAAGCAACCAGCCAGCCAACTGGTTCCATGCAAAGCCAGAAGGTGCGCCCGAACCTTGGAATCTCACACATGCGCTGTGAACTGATGTGATTCCCAATCAAGGAGTCAAGGTGCAGGATGTTGAAACATCTACCGCACCCAGGGACTTTTGACATGTCAGGCAGGGCAATTTAGTTGATCGCCCAGCAACCTCTCCTCATCCACCATGGGACCTGCGAAAAGTGAAAGATCCCCTCCTGCGTGTGACGCATGCAAATCGCTGAATTGCACAGTGTTATTCACTAGTCTTGCTCATGCTGCTTGTGATATAGTGATTGACACCATTCAGACGGAGTGTTTATTGAAGTTTAAGCTTGGAAAACCGTTGTTTCAACCCCAGTGTGCGTTGGTTTGATCTTGTAAAGCAAATCGAGGGATGCTTTGTTTGCCTTCCAGCTGTCTTGTTTGCTCGGCCTTGCCTTGCCCTGGCCTTGCTTGATTGCCTGTTTGGCCTTGCTTGCAGGCCCAGCAAGCGAGCAACTTTTTTGTTTGATTGCTTGCTCGGCCTCGTTTTTTTGGCCTTGCATTGGTTGGCCTTGCGTTGCTTGGCCTTGCGTTGCTTGACGTTGCTTGCTTGCTTTCTGCCTGGCTGGTGGGCCGTGCTTGACTTGGCTTGCGTTTGTTAATGTTCCTTGGCCCGTCCAGACGCATCCTTGTTGGTTTCAACAGGAGGACCCAGACGACCCACCGCGAGTGGATGGCGTCCTATCATGCAGCCGTGCGCTTGGGTCCTTCGAGCTGAAGCAGGAGGCACTTTGGCCGGAGGACGCTTGGGCTAGCGTATCGAGCTGGCCTTTTTGATGTTGGTTGGATATCCATTCAATTCATGCCTCATTTCATCTTGCCGTGGAGCCCTAGTAAGGGAAGCTACAGCAGCCGAGCGGTGAGTGTTGGTCTCGACAGGACCAAAAGGTCTCCTGCCTGCCAGACTTCCACAAGTGGCATGCCACGCGGGGGGACTGGCTGATTCTTGCCTGCGACGGGATCTGGGACGCGGCTTCCAACGAGCAGGCGGGGTCAAAGTTAAGCACAATTTTTGCTAGAGGGGTGACGGGGGAACCCCGGAAAAAGAGCCTCGTGGTTGATGTGTTGGGGGTGGTGGGTCTCATCTTAGAGATCCTTCACTCTCAGGGGAACAACCCCTATCAGTCCACTCCACAAAACATTCATTCCAGGGTCGACAGTACCCAAGTCAAGGCCTGGTATTTTATGTTTGAGATGTGTGGTCGGTAGTTGTCTTTCACTTGTTTTGGTCGGAATAGGGCGTAGGCTTTGGCGTTCACCTGCCGGCCTGCACCGGCAGGTGGTCGACAGGGTCTGCCGCAGAGCGACGAAGGGGAAAGACCTGGGCCAGGTGGTGGAGGACCGAATGGAGCAGATGTTCACGACCGGGTGATAGAAAGAACATTTGATCAAACTCTGTTTCAATTTGAGCATTGTTCAACAGGAATCCTGATATGGTGTCATCTACTTGAAGGAACTAACATTGCAGTTTCAGGTTGTAATTTAATAGGGAGTTTTGCGCTCGTCGGCACGATGTGGGACAGCTATTGACCCGGCCAAGCAGGTTTGATCCAAGAATCTAGCCACCGGAACATGGTGCAGGACATTGGCCAGAATGCTTGTGTTCTGTTGTTGTGGAAACGCATGCTGGGTGGCAGAAACCCGACAAAACCGTTTGTAGCTGGATTATGGTTTATTTGATTCAGGCTGAAGGGAGCTTGCCCCACTCGCTGACAGCCCCCTTGTTTGGGCAAGTCGCATTCAGTGCCGCGTTGATCTGGTTCTCCAGCATCCACCTGATTGGTTGGGCAACGTCAAAAAATGTATACATGTTGATCTGACGGTGGAAAAGGGGCTGGCGCACCGGTCTTTTGTTTTGTCGGCGCAAGGTCGAAGGCGTAAACATGTAGGCGGGGCCTTATCGCAGAGGCGATGCTGCAGCTCTGCAGCAGCTCGCTCGACAACTTGACGTTGGTGGCCATTGAGCTTGGGGCCGTGGAGCCGAAGGCCGGGGCTTCCGATGAAATTGGCTCCGGACGCGGGGTTTACGCAAAGCAGCTTGACTTTCCGGGTTAGGTTGTTCGCGGCTCTCGAGCCCATGGCACGAAGCAATAGACTCTATTCAATAGACTTTCTCACTTGCCTGGAGCGGATTTACCCGTACAAAAGTGATAATGGGAAAGTAGATTCATTGAGCATGCGTAGGGGCGGTGTTGAACCTTAGCTTGTCACTTATCACTCAAACTTGTGAGTGGCTTTTGCCAACCGGTTCCCTGCACTCGGCACTGCGTCCACGCCGGCCAAATGATTTGCACACCCGATCAAGCGCACCCGCTCAGCACTGCGTCAAAGTTTTTGAGCCGCTGCGCTTGCGACAAAAACGTAAGGCGAAGGGCCGCGCAAAGCGACCAAGTTTAGACTTGGCGTGCCGGGTAGCTATCTCATGCTGACTTTGTGCTACGAGTGCCAAACGAGCAGCGAGCGAGCCGGAGTTTCTGTTTTTGGCGTGATGCTTTGAAAGGAAACACACCTTTGGAAACCCGGGACGCTTGGATCGAAGGCCTGAAGCATCCCAAGCCTGACGCTAGGTGAGAGGAGTAATTGCTCTTGCAAAAGGGTCCTCTGCAACTACGCATGCTCATGTTGATTTGCAGAGGAGTGTGACTCAAGTTCCGCACTCACACCACCTGCTGGCTCTGTCTCACGCTGAGGGAAAACTCAGGGAGGCCCGTTTTACGAAGGATACCCCTGATGTGATAGTCGTCTAATATTCAGTTGTGTTTTTCAGTTGTGATCGATTGGCAGCCTTCCCTGAAGGATGATACGGTCACGATGAACGCTGGCAACTTTTTGACAGCGAGAAGAGAGGCAGTGCCGCGGACTCAGCGGGTTGTCACTCCACTTTGCTTGTATCCGCTGGCCAACCTATCGTGTACGAACGACAAGAGAGCAAACCCTGCACGAGATGATTCGATTCAGCCACCGCCGGTTCAGCCAACGCCGATGAAGCGCCTTTGTAGTTTTCTTGAGAGTGCCTTTTGTTGGATAGGAGAACTAGACACTCGAAGGCCTGAGACAGCATTCTCGGACCAATAGACGATAACACATTTCTCACAAGGTGTCCTATTGCTTTGGCTGAATGGAAGACCCCCCGCCCCCCCAGCAGCAATTCCCTAATCATCAGAGGTTTCACCAGAATCACTCATTTGTAGAAGGAAAGTGCCCTGTGGGCCCAACAGATGGGCGTTCATGTGTTTTAGCACGTAGTGGGCCCTTATTGCGTTGTTGTAGTTTGTTTCTCGTTTTGACGTGAAGCGATGCGAGTCTGTCATCTCAAGCCAAGGCTGGCGCAGCACCGTGGCAGCAGTGGGAGTGCCAGAGAAAGTGCCATCGACGTTCGCTCCAGTTTGTCAATTCGGGAGAGATGTTGGGGGTCTAGCAAAAGTTCGAGGGACTCACGAATCTCTTCATGTCCACGCGAGCTGCATAAGTAGATTGTTTGCTCGTGCATCTTTTCTTTTGTTTTTATTTCATTTGATTTCTATTGGTCGATGCGAGTACAAGAACACTACCAATGCGATACTGGTCTACACGGTGAATGGGCATCTAGAGGCTCTACGTGAAGTACACCCACGTGGCTTTTAAGGTGAAACGACTCTGCGACACGTACTACTAGCAAGGTCAACCAGGTTGGTTGATCGCGCATGTGCCCGTTCGTCAAAGGCCAGAGGTCAGAGAAGTTGGAGGGTTAGTCAGCTCAAGCTCGGCTTTGGCAAAGGGGTTGGCGGATTCCACTTGTGGCTCCATGTTCCTTTTTTGCCAAGACTAGATGAAAGGAGCGCCTGGACACGCAAGGGTTTGTCACCCAATTCTTCGTGATGTTTATTCCTTTGGTGCTCCGTATGTTTGTCTGGTTACCAGATGTCGAAGCATGTTGCTGAGGTATAAGTCGTTTGGGCTGCGATTTGGCTTTAGCCTCGAGAAGAACATTCCGGAGCAAGGGCCAGCTTCCTTGGCATTGGTGAAGACTGCTGCTTGGCGCTAGAAATTTGGGTTTGTCCCCCATTAGGAGGGGAGTATCCTCCTAGACTGGGTGGTTTCCAGTTTAGTTCCCCCACTTGCAGCAACGCAACAACATGTAGCGCTGCAAAAGACACACCCTTCTTTTGGGGTATGAGGACTAACATGAACGAACTATGATTGAGAGGGGAACGTGTTGACATGCAACCCAAGGTATTGAACACAGAATCAAAGCCTTGAATCAGTGTGTGTTTTTTTTGTATGTGTATCCATGTTGAGGCATGTTGCGCCAGTGCTCCTCAAGCCTCAGCAAAAAAGAAATCATATTGGAATTCTGCGATTTGTTTGCGTGGGTGTGTGCGTCGTGCATATGGGTTTGTGTGTGTGTGTAAATCTAGACACCAGTTGGTTCAATGTCGTTTGCACTCTGAATCCGCCCCCCCCCCCCCCCCAGTCCCTAATTTAACACAAGGCCACCCAATGATTCAAGTCAGATCTATAGCACACGTTGGCAAATGTGAACAGCTGGCAACTGGGCAACAACCGCACTCATGAGCCTCGTATATCAGAGGCTAGAGTTCTTGACAGTTCCTTTGTGGTCGCTCGCTGTGAACTTGACCCGCACTTGATGATTTGTTACAGCAAGGGCACGTTGATCAGTTGTGGGTTGTGTGTATGCTGATCAACACACACTTCCATCCATGTGTGTGTGTGTAAGTGCCACAACAAGATGTTGGCTTGTGAAATCCGCGCATGAACAATTCACAGATCTGTAGAAGGTTTCCTCGCGGATTCTTGTTTTGGGATAATGGACATGATCACCTTTTGGGGTCTTTGAAGTGGCATCAAGCCGGTGGGACAATGTTGAAAGGGGAACATGGGAACGCTGCACAGCTGGCTCAACCTCTTCAGGTGGTTGGTGCCTTCTTTCACCATCCCAAAAAGGGTCCACTGAACGGCAACGTAAGGGAGTTTGGCCAGCAACGCCAGCGCGAATTCTCAGGACCTACTGTATGTGTGACAAACGTGCAAGATGGGGTTCTTTTGGCGTCTCAGGAACCGAGCCCTCCACACAGAAGGTTTCCGGAGTGGCCTTTGCTGCCATCGTCGCAGCCCGGGCAGCAGACAGACTTGCTGATGAACAGACCAATCTGGGCATTGGCCGAAGCTGCGTTGTCATTTTTTTCCATAGCAATTCTATATTTGAGGGCAGACCGAATCAACAGAATCGGAGAACTCATTATTTTGTGTGTGCGCAATACTGTATGCGGGCAATGTATTGACATCACACATTGCACAGAATCGAATAGTGCCATGTTGCAAAAGCTGAAGTGAGTGGCTGAAGTGAGTTCAAGCTAATCCCCTTGCCCTTTCCCTTTCTGAACACTTTGGACAAGTTGGATCTCCAGAAGCCGGGGGTGACGGGCAAGTTTGCATGATGCACTACGTCCTGGGATTGCAATGTTGATTTGAAGCCATCCTGTCCTTTCTAGGAAATGAGAGATTTTGATCCTGCAGATCTTGCTCTCAGGAACACAAGCTTGACGTCAAAGGCAGATGCTTCGAAGTGCCAAGTCTGAAATACCGCTTGCAGTGCACTCAAGATCAATCAATTATTGTATGGAACTATGAACCCAATAATCATCAATTAAGATCCAGAGATGCATGCCGCATGCCCGATTTTTTTCCAGGAAGCGCCTAGGAAAAAACAACCTTGGGGCTTTCAATGAAGGTCATGGGGACATGATACCATGAAAGATGGGCCAAATATGTTCCCGTTTTTCTTTTGGATTCAGTCAGACTGACAGACTGGCGCAAAATGAAAGGGCCAGTTTGGGCCAGTTTTTTTCTTCTTCTGGACATTCTTCTATAACTTAAGGCTTACTCAATATCCAGACTCTAGCAATATTCGGGTCATAGACGAACTTGAGCCAAAACAATTACACAGACAAAGTATCCGGGCGTGGAAGAGAACTCTCAATTTGGGTACTGAGACAGCAGCTTTGAAGTCTACCAAATCATCCAGAGGAGTTTATGTGAATAATGGGCATACATCAATGTGTATCCGTCTAGGGAAGTCCCCAGAGTCCCCAATGGATTTTTTGCTCACACGTGAAAACAGGCTGTTTGCGGATGTTCCCTGTTTGGACAACTCATGGGACAAGAACCAATGTGCATCTCAGTTCAATTCAATGCTGAATTGGCAGAAAGAATTCCATCCTCATTCGATGTTGAGGACACCAGGGCATTCTCGCCTCAAGCAAGCAAGTAGGAGACGGTGTTTCTTCCTGCTTCTACAGGGCTCCTTAAAAGATACATTTTGCCCATTTGAAACATGGCTATTCCACCAAAATAAAGGGATACCGCCATTTACAAGGCCATGTTCAGGTGTATAATGTAAGGACCCCTGTTCTAGTTTAGGCTCACACAATAACCACAGGCGGCTCACTGTTTTGAGACACCGTCCAATGAGCTTGGCTTCCTCGATAGTTCAGAGTTTCTTGAGGAATTCTGGCCAGGGAGCACACAAAAAGGATTTTATGCAGTTGACTCCGGCAGTTCGCGCCTCAGGGACCACACGAGTCCTTCGGAAACATCCACAGAAGTGATGGAGTGCCGAGTATGCAATTGGTGCATGAGGCTGTGAAGACAAGAGGTGCATTGGGGTTTTGGCAAGCGCAAAAAGGATGAACTCTTGGCAAAGTCAAGCAGGCTGCATTGTTCGCGCTGGTGCAATGATGCTTGATGAGTTTTCAGGTCTCGACGGATTGGGCTGGTTGCCCGAGGGGTCAGCTGATTCTGATAAACACCCCCATCCGAGTCAGTGGCCCTTGGGCGGAGGGTTTCTTGGTGTGCGAAGATGAGTTGGAGAGACAACTCACCGTCCTTTCAGCTGGGTCGTTTGAGTGGAGAGTTGGATAACTTCTGATCCAAGACAGGCCATGGCCAGTGAGTGATAGTCACATGAGAGGGGCGCCGGGGTTGTGTCAGAGCGCAAGGGTTTCATCTTCGCCCTTCCGCCCACCAATACTGTTTCATGTTGAGCATTGGCCGAGCGAAGAATAAGGAATGCCGCTACCAATTTTGGACTCTGATTCAGTCGCTAGGAACCAAAAGAGCTCGGCTTCCACCCCTCCAACGTGGGAGGTTGACGCGGAGTGCCCGGTATGCAATTGGTACAGACCCAATGATCCCAGCCTCAACTCACTTTTCCACCCTGTGTTTTCCCCGTAGTGGATCAAGGTATGGATCTCCCACCCCCCACTCGGACTTTGACTTGTCATGACCACCTTTGCATGAGTATCAAGAATCCAAGCAGTCTTGCTAGCCACTTAGCGGCTCATGTCTCCAACAATTGTACTTTTTGTTCGTGCATCCCTAACTTCACGCGGTCAAGCGCCCAGTTTGAACACAGGCTGCCCTTCCTTTGAAACATTGCGCTTTTGAAACACAGTGGATGTGAGGCGGACGATGGACGATATGGAGGAAAGCTTCGATTTTCGAAGCATCCTGGTGACTTCGCTTCAAAGGGAAGCATGCTCACGTTTGTGATATTTAACCGCCAGTGTTTGCGCACTTCAAGAAGGCACATATCCTACACAGCCTAAAAAGCATCGGCATTCTTGGAGTCTTTCTCTGACTTGCTTGTCCGCATGGCCTAGTATTCATTTTGAGCAATGTTACGCATTGATCAATGCATGCAGTCGATTCCTCGTTCGTGAGGGAGATGTGTGTTGAAGTGATGTCCACACCACTCCCCATGCTTGTTCCGCCCCCAGAACCCTGTAAACCTGCGAACTAAGGCTTGGTTCGGCTGCTGTGGAATGCGCAAAGCCCAACGCTGGTAGCATTTTTGCAGCTGAATCATTGTAACTTGTCACAGTACGCCATTTGAAAAAGAGTGCTTGCTTGCCAGACACGTGGCTGCTCGAGAAAGGGTACCCCCAAAATGGCACCACTGGGCGTGCAAATGTCAACACCCTGTTCCTTAGGCACACGTTTTTTTTCTCTTCTTTTTTTTCAAAGAAAAAACATTTTTTTAGCCTCTCACACGACGCACCTAGCAACAAAACTGCCCATGGCAGAAGCGGTGGCTTGCCTGTCCAAAATGGGTTTGCATCAAGGTCACAGATTCACAGGCATGTGCATTCCAAAGCCAACCGAACGCGCATGTTTAGATGTGCAGCCACACGGGTGTGGCTCAAACGAAACAACTGAGGCAAACCTCAAGTTATATACCAGAGTCCTGCCGCGGTTTCTGGTGTCAGCATTTCACTGCTTTGCATGGATTAGGATTGTTTCAACGGCTGCTGGCCCAAGTCAGCAACAATTGCTCGACGCCTCGAAAAGACGCTGGCCGTGACGGCCATGACGCTGCAACTGCAACGCGATGGACGGCTGGGGAGGGCGCCTTCTGCATGCAGGCAGTGAGGGGGGTGGATTGCGGGTTCCATCGCCGGGCCTTGTAGGGCGTTCTCATGATGCGCAAAGTGGTTTCGGAACTTACCGTCCTTCCAACTGGCTTTGGGCGGAGAGTGACCTGGCTAGCTTATGATCCGAAGGGGCGCCATTTTCATCCTTCTTGCTTTGTTCAGACAGGCCGTGGGGGGAGTGGCCAGGTCGCATGGCCGGGGTTCTTCGAGCTGGCTCGATCGGGTTTCATCTTATGCGCCCTTCCGCCTCCCACTTTTTCATGTTGAGCATTTGTCACCGAGCAAAGAATCAGGAATGCTGTTCTTACTTTGGATCTGCTGGCAGATTCTGCAGTCGCTTTAGGAACCAAAAGAGCGCTATCTTCGACCCCTTGCCCAACGTCGGAGGCTCTTCTGATGTTGGCTGGATATCCATCCAACTCATGCCTCATTTCATCTCGATGTGGAGCCATGCTAAGGGGAGTTAGCAGCTGAGTGGTGAGTGTAGGTCGACAAGATTAAAAGGTTTCGTGTCGGCATGTTATGCTGGGGGACTGGCTGGCATTTGGGATGGGTCAAAGTTAAGCTTTTTGCTGGAAGGGGTGATGGGGGAACCCCGAAAGGAGAACCTCGTGGTTGATTTGTTGCGGGGTCGGGTGTCCCATTTTAGAGACCTTTTTTGTTTGTTTTTTTGCGGGGAACAACCCCCTATCAGTCCACAAAAATGTTTTTACTCCAGGGTCGACATTCCCCAAGTCACCTGGTATTTTACCTTCTACATGTGTGTGGGTAGTTTGCTTTGCCACCGTTTTTTTGGTCAAGATAAAGTGTAGGCTCGGCTCTGGGGTTGTAAGGGTCTCCGACTCATTTTGACCACCGGCAGGTGGTCGCCAGGGTCTGCCGCAGAGACAGACAGGACACTGATCCAACCAACATAGTGGAGTGCAAGGCGGGGCTTCGGAGCATGGTTCCGGACCCGAGGTTTTTGGGGGCTCTTGGGTCAATGTTAGGTGTCCTAAAGGGGGAATCCGCAAGGCAGTCAACTTTCCAGGCTATGTTGTTCTGAATGTCTCGAGCCCTGAATTGCACGAGGCAGGTGCATCTTTTGACCCTAGAGAAGGATGCCAGTTTGAGTGGGAAAGGGGTCAGTGACGGGTTGCAGTCAGGACCCTGCCGGTACAGCGGCCGCAGCGTGTCGCAGGCCGCACGATGAGCAGCGTGTCGCAGGCCGCGGGGGGAGTGGCCAGGTCGCATGTGCAAGCCCGATCGGCATACATCTCAAGCGCCCTTCCGCCTCCCACTTCTTCTTGAGCATTTGTCACCGAGCAAAGAATCAGGAATGCAGTTCTTTGATTTGGATCTGCTGGCAGATTCTGGAGTCGCTTTAAGAACCAAAAGAGCCGGACTTTGACTTTTCATGACCACCTTTTCATGAGTAGCAGTGCATGCTGTCTCCTCAAGAAACCAAGCCGTCTTGCCAGCCACTTAGCGGCTCATGTCTCGAACAATTGTGCGCTTGGTTAGTGCATCCCTAGCCTCACTGACACGCGCCCCGGTGCGAACGCGGGCTGCCCTTCCTTTTGAAACACGGCGGATGTGAAGCGAACGATTGACGACGCGCAGGAAAACTTCGATTTCCGGAGCATCCATCTGCAGAATGCTCCGGAATTCGTCCGGAGCTCGGTCCTGCAGATGCTGGCAGCCGGCTTCCCGTGACTCGGTTTCAACAGGAAGCATCAAGATATTTTTTCACATTTAGCCTTGACCTTTGCAAGACGCAGCAAGATTAGATTTCGCGGCCTAAGGCTCGTATCTTATGAGACCCAAGGATAATCCCAGCCTCATTTTCATGACCACCTTTTCATGAGTAACAGTGCATGCTGTCTCCTGCCAACGAGTCAAGAAACCGAGCAGTCTTGCCAGCCACTTAGCGGCTCATGTCTCGAACAATTGTGCGTTTGGTTAGTGCATCCCCAGCCTCACGCGGACACGCGCCCCGGTGCGAACGCGGGCTCCCTTCCTTTGAAACACTGCTTTTGAAACACTGCGGATGTGCGGCGGACGATTGACGACACGCAGGAAGGCTTCGATTTCCGGAGCATCCATCTGCAGAATGCTCCAGCAAATGGATGCTCCGAAAATCGAAGCCTTCCTGCGTGTTTGTCCGGAATTGGTCCTGCATATGGCAGGCTTCCCGTGACTCGGCTTCAACGGGAAGCAACACATGTAGCCTTGATAATTTGCAAGAAGCAGCAAGATTAGATGTCGCGGCCGCAGGCTCGTACCTTACATGGCCGAAAAAGCGCGGGCTTTCTTGGCGTCGCTCTCTGGTTGCCGAATGGCCGAGGGATCATTCATGCTTGCCAGTGGTTTGACCAGTTTACCCGTTGCCAGTAGGCTTTTTCTGATTAGCGGCCAGTAGCTACTTAGCATTGCTTGTTAATGTTGACCCCTGATTAACAAACCTTCAGCTAGTTATCAGGGGTCCCTTTTTAATAGAGATTCCTTTTTTCAGGGTTTCATGAATCAGGGGTCGAGAAACCCTCGACAACCGTGTTTGCTATTCACTGCTTTCCTCCCATTGATCCATTTCGTGTTATGTATGTTTAGAACTTCAACCGCTCGTGAAATGCCTAAACACGCTTCTCGCAACGAGAGACCATCGGCCCAATGACGCGGAGGAGCGTCAAAGAATCGAAGCCGCAGGCGGGGAAGTCACCAAGAACTCGGAGAAGAGTCGGAGAGGGAAAAGCGACTGGCCAAGAAAGGAAGCGAGCAAGCAAGCGAGCAAGCGAGCAGCCTTTCTGAGTTGATCAAAGGAAAGCCAAAAGGATAGGGGACAAGCCCGTCGCGTGTAAGGCAAATATTCATTCTTTCAACCATGTTGCTATGGAAGCCACCAATGACGCAAAGGTACATTTACCGTACGAGAAACATCATTGTCCTCCAGGGGTTCATTTGTTGGAAGGTGATTAGTTTGTGCCTTGGAAGTCGACAAGTCAGATGTGGGCATCGAGCCCGTGAGCGGTAGAGACCATGGAGATCATGAAGCCTGAGCTTTCTTTGGGTGCGTATGAGTGGGGTTCCCTCGGTGCCCCCAGTGAACGGGAAGCTCAAATTGGCTCTTTACAATGGGCGATTTTCCTTTGGCTCCCCTTCAAAACAACCAAAGAGAGCACACCCTCAAAGCAGGCCCAGATGGGTCGCAACTCGGCGGATGCTTCAAGCTGCAACTGTCAGTGTTTGATGTCAACACCGGCCGGCATGCTAAGACATATCGATGCTGGTGTTTTCGCTATCTTTCTGGATGATAAGCTGGCAGGGTCCTGATCTTTCTCCAGTGGTGAGAGGCCTGCTTCGCTCTGCCTCCTGCTCCATCGATTCCGTTGGTTTTGCTTGGCATGGATGATGTCCGGCAGCTGGCTCAAGGGTCAAGGATTCAAATGTTACACATTCTACACCACGCGGTCAAGGACATGCACCGATACGCAATGCGACGTGTAGGAGAACAGCTTGACAAGGCCCTGATGTCCCGCATCTTTCCTTGGAGTTTCTCCTTTGACTCGGCATCTTGTTGTGAAAGATGGTGCTGGGAGAGACCGTGACGGCCACGGTGCTGCGCCGCAGTCAGGGGAATCTTGGCCGGGCGGCATCTGCCTGTATGCAGGCATGGGGGCGGCTTCTTGCACTTTATATTTGAAAACTATTTTGACGGAAAAAGTCTGGACTTGTGTGGGCCAGAACATTTGGATGTTGTGTTCATTCCAAGGTTGTTCTACCCTGGCCGCTGGCAAAGAGCCTCCTTGGGTTTGCTCAATTTGAATTGTGCTTGCTGATTCGTACCAAGGCTAGAGTCTGCAAAAGCGTGGAGGGTCAGGGGCACAGAATGTGAACCGTTCAATGCTTGTTCGGTTGGGAAGGCGACGCCAGGGTGCTGAGGATATTTTGTCGGCACTCGCCCGCGCGCAGCTGCAAAGCCACTGCTCAAACACAAACTTTTAGTTCCGCGCCTCCAGGATTTCAAATCGACCGTGCGCCAGGGTGACAGAACCAGCTTCGAGGATTTCCACGTCCTTGACCAGACGGCCGCTCTTGTGGCCGTCTTTGATGGCCACTTGGGTGACGAGGCGGCCGCCTTTTGCGCGGAGAGGCTTCCGCTGCATTTGGCCAAGGCGCCTGGTGTGTGTATGTGTGCGTGTGGGTTGGCGGCGCAATGGCTGCGCCTTGAACTCGGAGTCCTCACATTTACCAATGGGACTGGTTTCCTTTTGGCTTCCACGAAAGCTAGCTATGCTAGCGTTGAGTTTTGCTTTAATTTGGCAGCAATTTCAGGGCTGGATTGTTTGTTTCAGTCTTTAGGGGGGGGGAATACTGATTCGGATTGATCCTCCACATGTTTGTGGCTAGGGAAGCTTTTTTAGGTCCTGGTCCAAGTTTGGGTTGGGGCATGGGAAACCCTGCGTAGAAAGGGCTAGAGAGGCTAGACGGTTTGTATGTCTCGAAGCTAGCTTGAGCCTTTGGAACCCGTTCCGATGTCATTTCCGTTTTCATTCTGGGGAGAGTGTCGTTCCAACGTGTCTTTGTGTCGAAAACAGCATGCAAATTGGTCTGCGGTGGTTGAGGGTGTCAATATTTTGACATTCCTTCTACCCAATACGTGCAACAGTTCTTCCAGAGTCGGATCTCAAACTTCTTCCATGAGGCTTTGTCAAGAGGCAAACCCACATGGGTGTGGCTCAAAATTAAACAGAAGGGGTTACGCAGGTTTTGGTCCACGTTTCCACTTACCAGGGTTCTATTTTGGCACCGGTTTTTTGAGCCACAGCCACATGTTCTCTTTCAGTCGAAGCCGTTATGGCCACGAGTGCCTGTGAGGCGGAGACTGCCAGCGAGTGGCAGGAAGCCTTCAAGGCCTGCGACGCGGAGCTGCGCGAGCGCCTGCCGCAGACCGAAGCCGGCACCACGGTGCTCGGGCCAGATCAAAGCGTCGGGGGGAGACGATTTGTCAGGATTTCAAGGACTGAGTGTTGAAGATTTGGGGGATTGTCGGCGCGAGACCCCAAATATGGTTCCAGCCCGAACAGTGCAACTTCACTTTGTGTATAGTGATGATCTTCTGTAACCACAGCCGCACCAACTCCACAAGCCCAGCTCCAACTTTGATTTGCAAGCGCGATCTCGCCGTGACCGTGGCCCAGCCGTCCAGAATGCGTTTGGATCTTTACAAATATGTTTTTGGCGGGATGCGTCTTTCAAACAGCTGCAAACTTCTCGCAAGGCAGGTAAGTACGAAATTGCACACTTGACGGCTGGGCCAGGACGAACGGAGGCTGCAGTAGTGTTTCTTTTTCTCGCAGCTGGCAAAACGCTTTGTAAAGAGCCATATGCATTTTTGATGGCACGAAGCCGCAGCGGCAAATAGGTGCGGTTTGCGCGTCACTGTGACATTGAAGGCAGCTTGTTGCGCCTGCCACCATGTTGCGTGAATGCTGGATCTAAAGTCGCAAGGCAAGCGCCAAACCAGCCTCCCAGCCGGGTAGAGCCCCCGCAAGGGGGGAGGGGGCGGAGGGCGGGATCCTTTTTTTTGTGCTGAAGGATTTTGGTTCCCATCTATACGCAGGGCGCACAAAGTGTATGCAGCATACATGCAGGTGTCAAGTTTTGAAGTTCAACCGCACAAATGGAGATGTCCCTAAAGTTGGAGGCCTTTTGGTTCGTGTCTAAAGGAGGGATAGCTGGTCCATTCCTTCTTGAGAGAAGGCTCTGATCCTTCGAAGGTTAACTTCCGCGTTTCACTAATTTTTAGAAGCCAGCCAACATGTTTGCCCAACAATTTTGGAATTTTCATCCCGAAGGATTGAAGGATCGGGAGAGAGTCGATGAAACCCGTCCGCCATTTTCTGCCGAGGCCACAGTTGTGCGTGTCAAGGAGAGCTCCCAGGACCGGGCGCGCTTTGGAAAACTCGGCTCGCTCCCATGTTGCTTTTGAGATCTCCCGTGTTGTTGTCATTTCGGCACTTTGGTGTTGTGATGCAAGCGCTACGCAAATGAAAGTAACCTCTTGGCGGACAGCTGGGCGACCTGATTTTTTTTCATGCTGCAATAGTTCATTTGCTAAAAAGGGACACGCTTAGCAAGAGGGTAGATTGTCGACACTACAGCGGCTCCCCATGTTGCTAGTAAACAAAGGTATATTCTGGATTGCGGGTGGCTTGGCACCTGCTACAGGACGCTCTCGAGCTCTTAGTGGGAAGTTGTGGAGATTGTCGCGCTGTCTTATGGCAGAAGGCGCTTGGGCATGGGGAGCTGGAAGGAATGACTTTTCAGCCCTGATCAGGGGAAAAAGGGCTGACTTAAGAACCTTCTTTCAGGGAGTTTGGTTGTTTGCTCTCTTAAGCGGGGGCTTACAAGGCGCAACTCATCGTTTGAGGCCAAGGCTGGTGAGCGAACTTTGCTGATTTGAGGGAATCCTCAACACCCATGTTTGCTGTTCTCTGCTTGCCTCCCATTGATCCATTTCGTGTTATGCATGTCTGGAAGCATGGGCCTTCAAATGTTAGTGGAATGCCAAACAACCGCATCCTCAATACCCGTGATGTAATGTGGCCAGGGTATAAACCTCCTGATGTCCCTCACGTCGCTATGCCGCGCAGGAAAGCAACACGCTTCTATCAACAAGAGACCATCGGCCCAGCGACGTTGACGAGCGTCGGAGAATCGAAGCCGCTGGTGGGGAAGTCACCAAGGACCCTCGTAGAAGAGTCGGAGAGGGAGAGGCGACTGGCCAAGGAAGGAGGAAGCAAGCAACCAGCCAGCCCACTGCTTCCATGCGAAGCCAGAAGGTGCACCCGAACCTTGGAATCTCACACATGCACTGTGAACTGATGTGATCCCCAATCAAGGAATCAAGGTGCAGGATATTGAACATCTACCGTACCCAGGGACTTCTGACATGTCAGGCAGAGCAATCCAGTTGATCGCCCAACAACCTCTCATGGGACCTGCGAAAAGTGAAAGATCCCCTCCTGCGTGTGACGCATGCAAATCGCTGAATTGCACAGTGTTATTCACTAGTCTTGCTCATGCTGCTTGTGATATAGTGATTGACACCATTCAGACGGAGTGTTTATTGAAGTTTAAGCTTGGAAAACCGTTGTTTCAACCCCAGTGTGCGTTGGTTTGATCTTGTAAAGCAAATCGAGGGATGCTTTGTTTGCCTTCCAGCTGTCTTGTTTGCTCGGCCTTGCCTTGCCCTGGCCTTGCTTGATTGCCTGTTTGGCCTTGCTTGCAGGCCCAGCAAGCGAGCAACTTTTTTGTTTGATTGCTTGCTCGGCCTCGTTTTTTTGGCCTTGCATTGGTTGGCCTTGCGTTGCTTGGCCTTGCGTTGCTTGACGTTGCTTGCTTGCTTTCTGCCTGGCTGGTGGGCTTGCTTGGAGGTTCTTTGCCGTGCTTGACTTGGCTTGCGTTTGTTAATGTTCCTTGGCCCGTCCAGACGCATCCTTGTTGGTTTCAACAGGAGGACCCAGACGACCCACCGCGAGTGGATGGCGTCCTATCATGCAGCCGTGCGCTTGGGTCCTTCGAGCTGAAGCAGGAGGCACTTTGGCCGGAGGACGCTTGGGCTAGCGTATCGAGCTGGCTTTTTTGATGTTGGTTGGATATCCATTCAATTCATGCCTCATTTCATCTTGCCGTGGAGCCCTAGTAAGGGAAGCTACAGCAGCCGAGCGGTGAGTGTTGGTCTCGACAGGACCAAAAGGTCTCCTGCCTGCCAGACTTCCACAAGTGGCATGCCACGCGGGGGGACTGGCTGATTCTTGCCTGCGACGGGATCTGGGACGCGGCTTCCAACGAGCAGGCGGGGTCAAAGTTAAGCACAATTTTTGCTAGAGGGGTGACGGGGGAACCCCGGAAAAAGAGCCTCGTGGTTGATGTGTTGGGGGTGGTGGGTCTCATCTTAGAGATCCTTCACTCTCAGGGGAACAACCCCTATCAGTCCACTCCACAAAACATTCATTCCAGGGTCGACAGTACCCAAGTCAAGGCCTGGTATTTTATGTTTGAGATGTGTGGTCGGTAGTTGTCTTTCACTTGTTTTGGTCGGAATAGGGCGTAGGCTTTGGCGTTCACCTGCCGGCCTGCACCGGCAGGTGGTCGACAGGGTCTGCCGCAGAGCGACGAAGGGGAAAGACCTGGGCCAGGTGGTGGAGGACCGAATGGAGCAGATGTTCACGACCGGGTGATAGAAAGAACATTTGATCAAACTCTGTTTCAATTTGAGCATTGTTCAACAGGAATCCTGATATGGTGTCATCTACTTGAAGGAACTAACATTGCAGTTTCAGGTTGTAATTTAATAGGGAGTTTTGCGCTCGTCGGCACGATGTGGGACAGCTATTGACCCGGCCAAGCAGGTTTGATCCAAGAATCTAGCCACCGGAACATGGTGCAGGATATTGGCCAGAATGCTTGTGTTCTGTTGTTGTGGAAACGCATGCTGGGTGGCAGAAACCCGACAAAACCGTTTGTAGCTGGATTATGGTTTATTTGATTCAGGCTGAAGGGAGCTTGCCCCACTCGCTGACAGCCCCCTTGTTTGGGCAAGTCGCATTCAGTGCCGCGTTGATGTGGTTCTCCAGCATCCACCTGATTGGTTGGGCAACGTCAAAAAATGTATACATGTTGATCTGACGGTGGAAAAGGGGCTGGCGCACCGGTCTTTTGTTTTGTCGGCGCAAGGTCGAAGGCGTAAACATGTAGGCGGGGCCTTATCGCAGAGGCGATGCTGCAGCTCTGCAGCAGCTCGCTCGACAACTTGACGTTGGTGGCCATTGAGCTTGGGGCCGTGGAGCCGAAGGCCGGGGCTTCCGATGAAATTGGCTCCGGACGCGGGGTTTACGCAAAGCAGCTTGACTTTCCGGGTTAGGTTGTTCGCGGCTCTCGAGCCCATGGCACGAAGCAATAGACTCTCTTCAATAGACTTTCTCACTTGCCTGGAGCGGATTTACCCGTACAAAAGTGATAATGGGAAAGTAGATTCATTGAGCATGCGTAGGGGCGGTGTTGAACCTTAGCTTGTCACTTATCACTCAAACTTGTGAGTGGCTTTTGCCAACCGGTTCCCTGCACTCGGCACTGCGTCCACGCCGGCCAAATGATTTGCACACCCGATCAAGCGCACCCGCTCAGCACTGCGTCAAAGTTTTTGAGCCGCTGCGCTTGCGACAAAAACGTAAGGCGAAGGGCCGCGCAAAGCGACCATGTTTCGAACTTTGCGTGCCGGGTAGCTATCTCATGCTGACTTTGTGCTACGAGTGCCAAACGAGCAGCGAGCGAGCCGGAGTTTCTGTTATTGGGTGGCGTGATGCTTTGAAAGGAAACACACCTTTTGGACACCCAAAGGACGCTTAGTGGATCGAAGGCCTGAAGCATTCCAAGCCGCCTGATGCTAGGTGAGAGGAGTAATTGCTCTTGCAAAAGGGTCCTCTGCAACTACGCATGCTCATGTTGATTTGCGGAGGAGTGTGACTCAAGTTCCGCAACCCTCACACCGCTAGGGAGCTACCTGCTGGCTCTGTCTCACGCTGAGGGAAAACTCAGGAAGGAGTACCCCTGATGTGATAGTCGTCTAATTTTCAGTTGTGTTTTTCAGGTGTGTTCGATTAGCAGCCTTCCCTGAAGGATGATACGGTCACGATGAACGCTGGCAACTTTTTGACAGCGAGAAGAGAGGCAGTGCCGCGGACTCAGCGGGTTGTCACTCCACTTTGCTTGTATCCGCTGGCCAACCTATCGTGTACGAACACGACAAGAGAGCAAACCCTGCACGAGATGATTCGATTCAGCCACCGCCGATTCAGCCACCGCCGATGAAGCGCCTTTGTAATTTTCTTTAGAGTGCCTTTTGTTGCCTGTGCAAGTAGAACGTTTTTCAGAAGGATGATAGGAGAACTAGACACTCAAAG